TAGGAAGATACATGTTTGCAGAGTTGTCATCAACACTAGCTATTTACCATCCTTGATACCTGGGTGGCACATCGCAAAGAGAATTGTCTGATGGAGTGGACATCTTTCCTCTAGCCATGAATTATGTCACCAAACAATGTATAGTTTTGGAGTGTGTGTTGTTTATTATGTTCTATCCAACTGGTAGCTGTTCTGGATATTTTGTGCTGCATTCTAACCGTGAGATATGTTTTAGTTTCTGGTTAAGAAAATATCACAGATGTGTTAATAGGCAACTAATGAAATAGTTGCATGTGATTGGCTAGTCTGTCATACAGACCCTGAAGCAAATATATCCAAGAAAGCCCACGCAAGTCTAGAAAATGTGGAAAGTCTCGATTTCCACAGCTTCTGAAAAGAATAAGTCTCAGGGCTCCTTTTCATTATATTTTATTTTTTTTATTATGAGTTTTTTTCTGTAAAATATGTTCATTTCATAGACTAGTTGTTAGTCTAGTGATTAGTTAACCAAACAATTTCATGTGATTCCATGGCATGTGATTGGCTAACCAAACAAGTTGATATTCATATTTTCATAAACCTAATTACAAAAAAGAGTCTCTGTCCACTACGAGATTACTGTTACATGACTGGCAGATAAAAGTTAGCAGGGTTTATGTTGCATAATTATACACAAGCCCTGCAAATGACGTCACTGATTTTGAATCGTAAACAGTAATAAATGTTTAGGGTGTGGAGTAATTATATTGATAACTGATTTATTCATGATAAATAGCTTCAAAATATGTTTTCTTAGATATAAACATGATAAACATAAATGGTAATACATTTTCTTATGGATAAATGGAAACAAACCAGTTGTTTGTTGTAACAGATGTGTATTTAAGAGTGAGATCAGACTAACTCTTGGCCTCTGAACATATACAATTTTGATAGAAACAAACATTCCTTTAAAATTGTAAAGGAGGCCCAGTGGGATGGGAGATTCAGCACCTTAGGAAATCTAGACTTGCTTCATTTAGAATATTAGCATTGCAGGAAGGGCTAAGCAAAATGGGAAATAATGCAGTTCAAGTACTGTGAGACTTGTGAACTATTTGTGTGTGACATTATGACATTATCATGATTACTTGACAGTCTTGTTACAAGTTAGAATTGTCCAAAAGTCATTTCTCCCTTAAAAATGTGTATTTGAGAAAGTAATGATGACTTTTTGCAATGAAGCACAGCATCTTTTTTAGGTCTTTATACTTTTATACTAAGTGTAAGGTAGATTCACGTCATTCATGTAATACACATAAGTTGAAAACAGAAAATGTGTATGGTTTGGTTTCGATTCCCGTAATGGGTACAATGTGCAAGCCCATTTCTGTGATATTGCTAGAATATTGCTAAAAGCAGCGTAAAACACAACTCTCTTTTGTTTGTTCTTTTGTTTTCTGGAATTTTTTGTGCACATGTTGGTTCACTGTTCAGGTGGCTCAATCAATGGAGGGGAAATCAATGGTTGGACCATAAGTAAATGATGTCACATGATTCACATCACCAGAACACCTGAAGCCTTAATAAGTTTTGTTTTAATAGATGACCAAATTCCTTCTTTTTAGTTCTGCAATCTGAACATAGTTACAATTCATAAGCATATGGAAACATGGCAGCAGGAAGGGGAGCACACTTGGTGACCACAGGGATGCCTACTTGGTGACCACAGGGATGCCTACTTGGTGACCACAGGGATGCCTACTTGGTGACCACAGGGATGCCTACTTGGTGACCACAGGGATGCCTACTTGGTGACCATAGGGATGCCTACTTGGTGACCACAGGGATGCCTACTTGGTGATCACAGGGATGCCTACTTGATGACCACAGGGATGCCTACTTGGTGACCACAGGGATGACTTGGTGATCACAGGGATGCCTACTTGGTGATCACAGGGATGCCTACTTGGTGACCATAGGGATGCCTACTTGGTGACCACAGGGATGCCTACTTGGTGACCACAGGGATGCCTACTTGGTGACCACAGGGATGCCTACTTGGTGACCATAGGGATGCCTACTTGGTGACCATAGGGATGCCTACTTGGTGACCATAGGGATGCCTACTTGGTGACCATAGGGATGCCTACTTGGTGACCACAGGGATGCCTACTTGGTGACCACAGGGATGCCTACTTGGTGACCACAGGGATGCCTACTTGGTGACCACAGGGATGCCTACTTGGTGACCACAGGGATGCCTACTTGGTGACCATAGGGATGCCTACTTGGTGACCACAGGGATGCACACTTGGTGACCATAGGGATGCCTACTTGGTGACCATAGGGATGCCTACTTGGTGACCATAGGGATGTCTACTTGGTGACCATAGGGATGCCTACTTGGTGACCATAGGGATGCCTACTTGGCTAAATGTCATGGTCAATTTGACAGATTTCACATAGATGTGATCAGTAGATAATATTATATAAAAGTCCTTTGTCAGGTCATGTGGGTTAGAACAAAATGGGTGACAAAGTCCTATCCCACTACTTTGGGCCCAATTTTGCAAATGGTTTGCAAACCTTATAACTCTATAAGAAAACCCAAACCACACCTTTGAAACCCATTCCAGCCTTTGAATAACACTTCAGCAGAGTCGTCATTGATGGTGAAGGTACTATGCTTGAAACTAGCTCAGGTAATCACAACATGGTTATGTTCAATTGTGCTTCCAAAGGTTTCCAGTAGGAGTGAAACGGTACGCTCTTATCACGGTACGCATTGCAGTACTAGACCTTCGGTTCCGTTTGTGAGATATGATCATAATGCAAGAAATGAACAAGAGCCAAACTTTACATTGTTTAATAACATGGAAAAAACCCGATTCAATTTCCAGACATTTTTGAAAAGGTTTAAATAGGCTAATAAAATGACGGTTCAAAAACAGAAAAATTACTGAATTTTGGGGTTGCATTACAGTATACCGTACTGAAGGCAAAATACCGCAGTATACCGTTTCACCCCTAGTTTCTAGAGGCTGTTCAGTTACCATTGTTTACAGAAACTTAAAGCCCAGGTTATTAACATGGCTTTGGTGAAGTTCTTCACCATGGTTGGTTTGCCTTGGAGTTTGCAGTCAGTTAAGGTCTTTCATTATATGTCAGGTGTTTTCCAACAGACTTTCCGTCAATTAGCAATAATTCAAGTAATGGTTAGCGCATATGATTCTGAATCTCAGGGAGCTTTACAGAGGCTACATCAGACTCTTGAGAATATGATAAGGACTTACTGTTTTGGGACCGAGATAGATTGGGATGTAGACATCCTTTCCTTGTGAGGGAGTCAGTTCAGGAGTCCTATACACAGTTCATGGACCACTGAAACACTTAAAGTAGCATTGGTTTATTGGGAGGTCTGAAATTATTTTGTTGAAGTATGTCATTTCAAGTTGCTTGGGATAATTTGAAAGAGTCATGGATAAATGACAGTTATGACAAAATGTCTCAAGAGAGAAATTACTGTCTGGCTGATTAATCTTTGTGATTATGCCAATCCCAGCTGGACCATTAGGTGCTAGGTACCATAGTCCATGTATTATTGATAGGAAATATAGTGGGGCTGATTGTGAAGAAGAAATACTAGACTGTCATAAAATGAAACAACTTTGTCAGATCAAAAGGATTAGACAGTATGCCCCCAAAAACCAGCAGCTCACTGAGACTCCTAGATATTGTATGAAATTGTTATTCTGATGCAGGGATTGGGATAAAGAACTTTGACAATGGGTCATTTTCAGAATTATTAACCATTTTCTGAATTTAGAATGTATCATTAGTGAACTTCAAATTTTAATGGGCCATTTTGTATTCTAATGTGCAAAATGGCCCTTGCCTTTCCCAATCACTGCTGATGACCGAGTCAACTTTGATGGCTTTTTGCTGACTATGCAAACCCTAGGCTAAACAGTGAAAATATTTCAACGAACATAGATGTTAAGTTCAATCGTTTGTTATCTGTCCAAAAGGTTCAAGTATCCAAGTTAATTTGTGAGTTCCCCCCACTTGTTGTCTGATGAACCTGGCCCTACCGATTTGGTGTGTCATGTTGATGTAGGTGACGCTGTCTGTGCCTGTGAAACAACAACCCTGCTGCTTGAATCCAATCAATCTGGAAGCCTCTGAGAAGGAAGTTTAGTACATGCTGGACAATGACATTATCGAACCAAATCAATTATTGCAGTTCACCTTCCATTCTTGTGCCAAAGCCTGATGGTGAAGTCGGTTTCTAAATCTGACTTGAACCAAATACCAAGAATCAATAACTGAATCGTCAACGAAGTATGTCACCAAGTTCGAACTAATGAAGGTTTTGTACCTTAGTTGGCAAGCAAGTTCTCACAATGAGTATTTATTATTAAACAATGTTTCAAATGTTTCTGCTTCTGTTAATTTGCAGTAATGTGTTAGCAGACCTGTTTGAATTTTACTACATTTGTTAATCGTACGACATTTCTTCATTATCTGCTGGTTTCACATTGAATCTTCTTGTACATTGACTTATATTTTCATGTTTTCAGTTTGAAAGTGAACATGTAACACCAGTATGTTATCTAGTTAAAGATACAATATACACTTCTTTGAAAGATATTTAGAATTATTACTCATCACTGACTGTAAATCCAGAATAGTCTGAATTATAGGTTGTTGGTATATTCAGTGCTACCATTTTCTACCCAGTTACTATAGTGGCTTCCCCCGCCAATATCTTAAGAATCTAAGTGTATTGAAGTGACACATCCTATTCACATTTTCATGCTGCGAGAATATTTTGTGGTGCTTTCATTTTTTACTTCCACACTATTATTATTATTTGTCTCAACCATGGTACCTCAGGTGGACATTTTTGTAACAAGATTTAACCCAAAGCAAAGCTTTAACTCCATTGCAGAAGAGGTTTATGTATATATTTCTTTTTTGCAGGGTTCAGTTGCTGAGGAATGAAGAAGCATTAGAAAATGAATTGCATTCAACAATCAGGTGCAGATGTGGATGTTCCTACCCCAACAAAAGATGAACCAGTGGTGTCCGAAACCTGTAACTTTCACACCATGTTAGGACAAAATTCAAATGATGCAGATCAAACTCCAGAACTACCTACTGGCTCTATGACAGGTTCAGAATCTAGAGATTGTGCTACACCAACAGTGGATGAAAAATATTCAGCTCTGGATTGCCCAACACCTACCCTTGATGAACCAGTTGAACAATATACACCCACTTTAGATAGTAGTGATCTGTCAATATCTGATGTCAAGTGCAAGCTCTTTATTAAGGATGATTGTGAAGTTCAATCTGAGAGTCTACTGTCGAAAGTAGAAGGAAAGGACATTAAAGGTTCTGGAACTTCTCAAGAAACTGTGACTGATGGGGAATCCAGTTCTCAGGGTCAGCATCTGAAGCCAGTAGATGAGGAAAGCAAGGATAAAGAACCTGAAAAGGATGGATCAGGTGGTCAAGGTCTTGAAGCGAAGATGGGAGAAAAGGATACAAAGATACCTAATCTGGCCAAAACCCCTTCAAATGAGAGTACTGTGAGTCATGATAGTAATGAAGACCAGAAACAGATTACTGTCACACACAGTGGAGATGAGTTCACTTGCACTGAATGTGATTTTACTGGACAGGGTCATCACTTTGAGGAGCATCTGATGTGCCACCTTATCCTGAAACCGTATCAGTGCCTACTGCAAAGAAGCTTTTGCTTCAAGAAAAGAAGTTGGAAAACACCTTTCCGCTATGCATAAGGGGAAGAAGCTGAATTGTATGTTGAAGGCCCTTAGTCGAGCAAAGAATCTAATGCTTCAGGCTAAAAAGAACAACTCATGTGTCTTCTGTGCGCTTATTTCTGGTAGCGAGTTGTCTTTAAAGCGAAAACGTTCTGTGGAATCAATCGGATCTGTTGGCACTCTATCCAGAACGTCTTCTGGATCAGATAGCTCTGAGCCTACATTGCCCAAGCTACCATGCAGGCAGACATCTTGTGTGAGTGAAAATGATTCCTTAAAACCAGAGAGATTAGAAAGTAGCTCTAGCAAAGACAAAACCATGCCTGTGGAAGATTTGAAGGATGTCATGGATGGTATCAAAGAAACACAAGAAGATCCTGGTTCCAGAAATAGTCCAATAGGAGACAAGAGTGAAGAACTTGAAGAGAACTCACAACATGATTCTAAAGATGCACCAGAAAATGATAAAATAGAGCATGAGACATTGGAAGAAATCAGTGATAACAGAAAGGAACTAAAAGTCAATAAAGATGATGGCGATGGTTGTACAGACATTTCCTTAAAGAGTGGTAATGTTTCAGAGAATGAAGCCAAAGATGACTCTATGACAAAAGTGGTTACCAAAGATAAGGCACATGCTCCAGACAGTGAGCTATCTGAAATGTCAGATGTTCCAGCAAATATTACACCAGACTGTCCAGGGAAGGAAACAACAAACCTTGGTTCTTGTGAAGAAGAGAACAAGGAAGTGCTAGAAGATGATCCTATGAGCCATGCTCTCATCAACAATGTGAGTCAAGTTCCTGATACTAATCTTTCTGATGACACTATGAAACCAGAATCATTTGTAAGAGATGATTCTTGTAGGATTACCAAAGTTGAAGAGACACAAAGAAAATCAGATAATGATGTTCCAGAGTGTGTTGACAAGGATGAAGTGTTAGATACTTTGGAAGTTAAGAGTATCGTAAACAAGGATTTGGGTGAGGTTGTGTCAGGTTCTTCTGAGGACAATGACAAAAAGGAAGTAACAGATAAGATAGAGGGAAATGTTGTCAATGAAGCATCAGAAGCTGCTGAGGATGATGACATGAAGGAGGCATCATTTCAAGGGGAAGAAAAGGCTGTAACAGCAATGTTAGATGTTGAAGACAATGATAAAGAAATGTTGGCAGATAGTGAGGACAGTGACAAGAAAGGAGTTTCAGTAGGATACAAGATCCATTCAACTGGGAAGGAAGTTTTAGAAAATGGTATGGACAATCATAAAGATGTTTCAGGAGATGGTAAGGACAATTCAATTGACATGGAAGTTTCGGGAGATTTTGAGAACAACATTCAGAAGGAAGTTTCAGGAGATGGGGAGGGTGATTCTATTGAGAGGGATGTGTCAGGAGATTGTCACCCTATAAGTGTTGTCAATGATATTGCAGGACAGGATATAACAGGAGGTGAATCCAAGGACATTGAAATGGAAATTCCTGGGGATGCTTTTCCAAACTCAGCTGCAAACACACAGAGAGGGTCCAGCAGTGATGCTCAAGAAGACAAACATAAGGCTGTGGATAGTGAGACCCATGAGGGCAGAACAAATCTTGATTATGAAGAAAGTCGAGCAGGGATTTCTGATCATGTAGAAGGTGATGGAAGACATGCACAAGAACAATCTAGTTGTCATGATGATGTGGCCTCGGAAAATACAGTCACTGATGAGGTGTGTCATAAAGATCATGATCAAGTTCAGCATTCTGAGTCAAGTAATATTAACTCTGGCGAGAAGGCTGATGATACTAGCAGCAATGATTTAGGAGACATGGGCTTGAAAATTGTTGCATCATTTTCCCTTGATGGAGATGAATTTTGCAAGCCTGCAGAAGGTAAGGACGGCGATGATTCTGAGATGACTACTCCGGAGGCACAATCAGTCGAAACAACAGACACATCTGTTGATGACACAAGTGGATTGGTTATTGATGTATTTAAAGATGGACGGATATCTGTTCACAATACCAAAGAAACCATATCTGAAGAAGCAGATAAGACTGTGTTCAAAACTTCAGAACAAACTGCTGACGTTGATGTTGAATCTGTGACTCCATCAAAACCACAGCAGTCCAAGCTTGGGCAACTCTTGTCTGGAACAGCTGCATTCCCCACTTCTGTTGGCATGTCCTCATCACCACCACCAGCATCAACTCAACCTGCATCCAAAACAACCGAACCAAAACCACCAACAGTACCAGGCATTACTCCAGCTCAGATGAAGCACATGCGTAATCCAAATTTCTATGTGTGTGGATTGAACTGTAATTTCAGTTGCCTCAATTCCGTCGAATTCCGAGACCATCTGTTCATGGGGCATGCTGGAGAGAAAGTCTTCCCTTGTTACTATTGTGGCTGGCTTGCACATACTGAAGAGAGCTTGTTAAGGCACATCACCAACCATGCTCACAATTACAGCAAGATTGCTCCATTGTATCTGTGTGGAATGCAGAGATGTAAATTTGGCACCAACCTTCTTTCAGATTTGCTCAATCATATGCAAATTCTACATCATGATATAACTTTGTACATTTGCAAAGAGTGTAATGAAACATTTTCTGATGTTAAGGAACTTGTGAGTCATTTTGATGAGAACTTTATTCATGTTGTGAACTGCCCACACTGTGCTTGTAAGGGAACGGACAGGAGGATGATCCTGAAGCACATCTCAGAATACCATCCTGGAAAGGCCAAGATGGTGTCTGTTGCTAAACAGATCATTTGCAAAGACAGAAAGGTCAACAACTATAAGCAGGTGAAGGCTCAGTACAAACGTGATTCTGCACTGGTGCAAGAAACAACATCAATACCAGGTGCTGCATCATCAGCAGTTCCTGAGAAAAAGCAAATTAGTAGTACCTCAAGCTCAGCCACTTACACTACCCTCAAACACAATGAAACTACTTCACAGTCTGATGCCACAAAAGTGAAAGTAGAAAATACAGTATGTGACAATGACTACGGGAAGATATCATCCGGTGCCCGTGCTGCTGCTGCTGCTACAAAGACTCCTACTGATGGTTCACCTCCTGAGAAACAGATAAAAGCTCCAAAGTGTAGTCACTGTACATTTGTAGCTCGAGATCAGAAACGACTTGAAAGTCATATGAAGTGTCATGGTCTACCTGTTATCAAAAGACACAGATTTCGATGCCTGTATTGTCCTCAAGGATTTGATAGTTCGCAAAAATTCAGACTGCATATTAATTGTCATCCTGGTTTGATCAAATATTGGATGTATTGTTGTAAAAGGTGTGATTTTGACACTAATCAACGTTACGTGATGTTGAGACACATTCGTACCAGAGATGAACTTCATTTTAATGAAGGAAATGAGGAGGATATGTTTTCTGTTGTGGAAAGGATTGTGGAGAGCAGAGTTCTTGAATGTGAGCACTGCAACTATCAGACCAGACACAAGCTTCATCTGCAGATTCACTACCAGAGAGAACATAAGGTTGTTAAAGCAGCAGCGCAGTCTTCAACGGATGCAGACAAACATTCGCTTGCAAAGCAAGTGGCTTGGGTTTCTCCTCCCAAACACGGTTCCTCATCAAGTGACACCTGTCAGGAAAATATGTCAAAGAAGTTTAAGTGTCCTTTTTGCAGATATCTTGTCCCGAAAGCAGCAGATTTGAAATCTCATGTTAAAAAACATGCTAATCTTGGAAAAATCACACTGGATTTCTTGAGGTGTAGGTACTGCAGTCTCTCCTCAACCGCAAGAGAAATTGTCTATGCTCACATCAGGGACAAACATAGAGGGAAACCAATGGTTCTTGTGCGAAAGATAGTGACCATTGATTGTAGTGGCACGGACAATTCTTTCTCGGAGACGTCAGTTACTGAAGCTCCTGTTGCAGTGACATCCTCAAGCGGTCATGGCATTGATAAGTTTCAGTGTGAAACTTGTTCATTTGCCACAAACAATAGAGGACAGTTTGAAGTTCATGTTCAACTTCACAACACCACAAAAGGAGGAATACTTGGCATGTCTATGAATGCGGACTCTGATGATGATGTTGATGAGGAGGATATGGAAACTGGTGTTGATCATCCACAACCTGAAGATGACGACACATCGATCAGACCTGCACCTGAGGTGACACCAAGTCCTGTTGACGTGATTGAACAGGTGTATGTCATTCCAGAAGCTGTGGCTGGTGACCAGCTCAGTTCACCAGCAAGATGCTGCAATTGCTACTATGCTTCTGGGTACCGATCAGCTTTTATTGACCATATGAAGACAAACCATCCTAGTGTTATGTTGGTTATAAGAAACAAGGGTACAGCAGTCGAACAGATTTGTCCAAGTGGAAAAATGTTCTTTGGTTTACCATCCACTCTCAATAATGAAGTGCTTCTTGTGCCCGACAGACAAGTCTTCACTCAAGCTGTTAAATGTCCTAAATGCCCATACTTTACAACCTACTTCAGACGGAATCTGGTTCTTCACCTCACAAAAGATCATCCAGAGATTACAGCAATGGGAAAATGTACATGGCCAGGTTGGCAAACTGGTTCTGGTGAAGCTGCACATGCTGTGTCGATGAAACAAGAACATGCAACAATGAAAAAACTAAAGAGACCAATTTCACCTCAAGAGAGAGATGAAAGTTGCATCATTGGCTCTGGTGATTTAGATGAACAGATTGCATGTCTTTACAAGAACTTTGGAGACAGACAGCAGTGCCTCATTTGTAATTCTGTGAAACCAAAGAAGTTCTTTATGCATATTCATCTTCTGCGTCATCTGAATATCTTTCTTGTAAAGTGCCCATACTGTTCCCACCAGGGTCTGCAAAAGTACAAGATCGGCCGTCATATTAGAACCAACCATCCAGATCACCAGAATTGTGTGGAGGAAGTGCAGAATGATATACCAAAGAAAGTTGCAGAGTTCTTGGCACATCAGAAGAAAGTTGTTGCTGCTGCAACAACAAGTCCTCCACCTTCTGGGGACAATGTGACCTTTATGGACAACAAACATCTTTCTGTCCACTCTGGCAGTCCAGGGAAGGACATTCATGGTGCGAACAAGATGTCTGGTCCTCTAGGCACCTCATACTTGGATGAGAAACTTCTATGTCTATACACATGCAGTGAAGGAAAAAATAAATGCAATTTGTGCAGTGTTGAATTTTCAAGAAAATATGCCATTCATCGGCATATAGTTGTGAACCACCTGAAGGTATCCCTCCTCAAGTGTGGACATTGTAACTTTGAAGGGGTTGAGAAACATGTCGTCATTGACCACATCCTCGAGCAGCATAAGAACCAACCCATCAAGTTTGAGCCACTGAACATCAATATGGAGGGAAAGGTACAAGAATTTCTCAACACATACAATGTTGTTAAGTCAGAACCAGGGTCAGTAGATGTAAAGCCCCTCTTTTCTCCCTCACCTGTAAAATCCTTTGGTCCACAGGCATATTGCCTTGGTAAAGACAAACTCCACAACAAGCTGATGCCTCTGTTTTCCAAGAAGAATGACAGTTACAAGTGTAACCTTTGCAAATGGAAGTTCCCAAGAAAGTATGCTATCCATCGTCACATACTTATGAAGCATTTAAAGATTGGACTATATGGGTGCACTCACTGCCATGTTCAGGGAGCAGAGAAGTACATTGTGGTCTCTCACATGAAAGAAGCTCATCCAAAAGTGGCACCTCAAGCAAGAATCCTAGAAGTTGACATGGATCACAGAATACAAGAGGTTTTGCGTGAGGTGGCCAGTGGAACTGGATCACATACCTCAGGAAGGAAGCCGCCCACATACTATGATGAAGATATTCCAGATCCTGTCATGACTCCAACTAAGTCTATGACAGAATACCAAGATGATGAAGAAGACAAAAAACCAACGGAGGCTGATAAGAAGCAGATGGTGGTTGCAATGTTTGGAAAGAAGAGGAAGTCTTTAGAACCTGCTGAACCATCTCAACTTGACTCAGCAATTACACCAAAGAAGCTGAAGACAACTTCCGCATGGTCGATGTTACCACTGAGATTAAGGTTGTATGCATAGAGGAGGGAAGTTTCAAGAAGTATGTTTGTGAAAAGTGCAGATTTACATCTTTACACAGATCCAATGTTTATCGACATGTTTTGAGGATTCATGAGAGATATAGAGAACTGCAATGTGAATATTGTGGATACAAAAGTTACAGTAAGGTCCTACTGAATCAACATATAGAAGTTGAGCATGGAGGAAAATCTCTGCTCAGAGACACTAAGGACACACCAACCAGTGTGAAGGAAGAACCCAAAGAACCAAAGCCAGATCCCCATTCGTCCTCCAGTCCAGGTCAGACTGTCAAGCATTATGCCTGTGCATATTGTAACTTTGAAACAAACACTGCAGAAAATATTATAAAACATACTCGAGAAAACCATGCTCCTGGAAGTGGAGAAACTTTTAACTCGGCTGCAGGTGATAAGTCAACTGCCAGCTCAGACCCAGATGTCACTGTGTCAACACATGAACATGTGATAAAAAAGTCCTCTGTTAAAAGAGGAACATTTACTGAATCCCAGATGTTGTACTGTGGATATTGTACCTTCAAGGCACCTGGAATTCAAGCACTGAAGGACCACCATAAAGCCATGCATCACTCCAGCAAACTCTGCATCATTTCTCCCCAGCCATGGAGGTACATCTGTAGAATCTGTGGCCTCAAAAACAATGCTGGCAGCAAGATGAGGTGTCACCTCAATCGCCATCTTGAATATAGGCCATACACTTGCAGTTCTTGTAGCCAGCCTTATGCTTCCACTGATGAACTTCGCAAACATGTACGCAGCCTGCAACATTCAGACAACTTTCAGTATAGAAAACATGAGAAAAAGGAGCAGAAGATTAACCGATTCTTGGAGGAGTCCAGAAAAAATGCTCTTCTTGTAAATCTTGGTGCTCCTCCAGATAGTGACTCAGTGGCTGTTCCTACAAAACCTGTCAGTTCTGAAAAGTTAAAAGAAGGTAAACCGTCAACTGAATTCAAGTTCAAAGGTATAAAGAGATCAATGAAGATGCCCATGTCACCGGCAAAGTCCTTGAAGAAGAAGTACATGAAAACAGGCCTTGATCGAGACAGCAAGGCTGTGACCAAAGACATAGCCTGCTATTGGTGTGACATCCCACACACAGTGTGTGTGGATCAAATGCGTCAACACCACACTAAAGCACATCAAGACAAGGACTTCCTCTGGGTGGACACTCGTCAAGGTAACATCTGTACCATTGATGGGGAGATAGTGGAAAGCGGAAACCTGGCTGAAATCCCCAAGATTTATGACTTGTATGCCTCCAAAAAACTCAATACTGGAAAGACCAAGTTCTACTGCAACAAGTGTTCGTTCTCAGCCTGGTATCTCCCAGCCATGGTGAGTCACTGCCGATGTCATCTGCCCAAGAAGTACCTCTGTGCCTACTGCCATCTCCGCTACAGTAACAAGTGAGTAGCGTCAACATCCTTTACATTACGTTACTCCTTTTCAGAAAGCTTGGCTGAACTGGACCATGCGCTATTTAGATTTAGATGTACTTATTTCAGATTCAGTAAATGTTCATTATCTTTTTAGTTTATTGAAAGTTCTGTTGTTTTGTTTAATTGATCTGTTTAATTTCAGTGGTTTATAAATCCAAAAGCTTACCAAATAATTATGGGGTTTAGGTTTGTTGATATAAAGAAAATGTGAAACAGTGTGAACGAAATCTAGTCTGCCATCTTGACAGGAATCAGAAAATATGTGACGTATTTTCATATCATTTCAATATGAATGGATAACATGAAGTTCATTTGCCACCTGAATTTCAAATGGTTTTAAATAATAAAAATATATGTGATGGTATAACAGGCCTGTTTAAGAACCTGTAATCTTTACAAATGTTTGTGGACTAAAGTTTATTGTGTCATCACTGACTGGATATGGTGTTGTGCAGGGAATACCTGGAGAAGCACCAGCGCACTTTCCATCCTGGCCAGGAGATCTGGATGCTTCACATGCTGGAAAAGAATGCTGGCCACAGACCACCTCAAGCCACATCAACGCAACCCTCTGCCTCGGTTGCCTCCACCATATCTGTGAAGCAAGAGTTGCTGGATGAGGCATTATCAGCTGCAGCTGTTGATGGTTGGTTTCCTATTCTTAAACGTTTTGCTCTGCTGCTTCAGTTGTCCCACATTAGAGCTGTATGGTCAACGCTTACTTGAAGTCGGTACAGCAAATTGTTTTGATCTTGCTACATTATTACATTTATCATGTTTTTGGTTGTCTCATGTTCATGGGTATTTTTCAAGCTAACGCAATCATTTGAAAAATGTGAATTTTGAGTTGTAATTTGGTCATATCTGCTGAACACTTGGACACCATCCCCTTAACCACTAACAGGGTGGTTGGGTATTCAAGTGATAAAAGCATTCACTCTTCACCCTGAAGAACCAGGTTCGATTCCCCACATGGGTACAATGTGTGAAGCTCATTTCTGGTGTCCCCTGCTGTGATATTGCTGGAACAGCAGCATGAAACCATACTCACTCACTCACTTAACTACTAACCTCCTCTGGTGCTCCCAAAGCAGTCATAGTTTGCATTATTAGTGTCCTCAATTTCGCCTTCTAGATGGAAAGACTAATATCAGAGAAAGGAACAGGGTTTGTGATGTAAGTTTTAGCAGTGAAAGCAATCAGTCACATTTTCATGGTGGGCAGAATTCAGACAACTCATATCTCCTATTTTGTCATGTCTGCTTTGCTTAGAACCACTCACAACCATCTTACAAATTTTCAGTCCATGACCATGAACATTTGACTGTTCTGCTATCAATCAGGTGGCACATTAATAGAGTTTTCTATACAGAGTTGCTTCCCTTGGGCACTCCAGAAACTTATGATCAGGCCTTTCTAGTTTCAAATCTGGTTTGGTCTGGTTATGTTTCTCGGTTTTTCATCACCACACTTATTCTCGCAAGTTTCACCAAAGTGGTCTCAGACCAACATCACTTTGGGCTTCCCTCCAACATAAGCTGAGATGCCATTACATCACTAAAACACTGTTCAAATTGGTGTTACGCCCAACTCGCCCACGTACTCTTGTTGTTACTAATTACTGTTTTGCCTGTTTCTCTTAAACTAACTTGTCACTAATACAGTTAAGGTTAATCAGTATCACATAAAACTAACATCTTAATCATGCTTGAGTGTTTGTTTAATTTAAACAAGGCTTCATCCCAACTTCTGTCATATTTCATGCTCATGGTAAAACCTTCATACAGTCCATATGGGCACAATGTGAGAAGCCCATTTGTGGTGTCCCCGCCGTGATATTGCTGGAATATTGCTAAAAAAGGCGTAAAACCAGACTCACTCATACACAGTCTGTATTAGTTCAAATCCAGAGATATTTCAGTTCCCCGCCGTGATGTTGCTGGAATACTGGCCATTGTTTGAACTTTCTCATGGTCAACAGTTTTGTGTGGTCTTCAGTAAGAAGGAAATTTCTCGCGATACTAGACTTCATGACGGGAATTCTTCTCATATGTCTTTTAACAGAACTGTATATTTGTTTCTACTTTAATTTGAGTCATTTTGAATTATCATGATACAGCATTTGCATATACAGCCTTTGTAATGATCCATCCTTGCCATAATTCCTGTATTTTGGCTGTAATCACGATTGAAGAAGTCTTCACTCTTAACTTTCCTTAATCTGAGGTGCAAGTTTAGCATCTGGCTTCTAGGAGACAAGCTTGTTTAGGCTATGGTGTTGGAATTTTCAGCGAAAAATATGATATTGAATTAAAAATTTGAAGAATGAATGTCTAGGTTACCTAGGGCTATATTCTTACCAGTAATGCAAGACATAAAGTAACACAAAATGTTTAAAATCCCCAAAGCGCGCACTTAATGTCCAGCCCTGTCTGTGCAAATCAGTTGTTGAAGGACTCTTGTGACATTTAAATATATGGAATGGCTTCCATTTTTGCATGTTCAGCTAATGCCACTCATTCTTGGACCGCTGATATTGAAATCCATGTGTGGTGTGGTGTAAGGGAGACAACTCCTGTTTGCCTTATTTCTAAGATCATGCATGTATGGTTTTAATTATGTGGGGGCCTGTTACCATTTATGTTATTGTTTCATTCCATGCATGCTTGGTCACAATATTAACTGACCATCTTTTTGGGCTGTTCAAGCAAGTTGAGAGTGAGCAAAGAAATATTTACTTGACAATCAAATCACATAGATTCAGCATCTGAAACAACGTTTAAACATTGATAAAGCAAACTTATCGCAAAGCCATCTGAAATTACATACTTTCCAGCAATGACTATAATAATAATAGTTACAATATGTACTTTCTGTAAGAGACTAAGTTAGAAAAGAAAGAAAAGTAGGCTTGAGAATAAAGGATTTAAGAAAAATGATGAAATTTGTGTTTAATGATATGATGCTGCCTTTCACTGTCAAATGTGTGGCAGAGTGATTTGTTTTCATTTTAGTAGAAATATTTTAAGTACTTATGCTGAAATGTGTTAGGTCGTTAAGAACAAAAACCTTGCCATTTGGCTTGGCATTACTTTCATATGTCTACGGAACGGAACCAGTGCAGTTACTTCCATTGCAAGTCAGGTTATTTGTATTTCTCATTCATAACTTCAACAGTGTTTTATCATGCTTGTTGCTTTATTTACAGAGAGACGAATAAGTCAGTCAGTGACGTACTGTTGCAACTTCTGCTCCTATCGAAATGAGAGCTTATACCAATATAGGCTCCACCTGCCGTTACATGGAACTTTCAAACATCTCAAAACAGACCTGTTGAATGACTCGCCTCTTAAATGTGGTTTCTGTCCCTTTGTTGCTACTGACCAATCAGACTTCAGCTTTCACATTACGACTCACTTTGAAAACCGCTCTTTTAAGTGTGCTCATTGTGACTATAGTGCATATACACGTGCTCACGTGAAGTTCCATTCAGCCAATCAACATCCAGACATGGAACAAACTGTACTTGACCTTTCATCTTGTTCTAGCTACGTTGAGTATCTAAAAGCAGAGAAAACAAACCTGCCCAAACTGGTTGATTTGGATCCACAAGTTGTGGTCAAGGATATTACAACTATGACCCAACATGACTTGGAAGAGATGATGACAAGAGAACATAAAAGTGTCTGCTATGAGGATGTGGATGTGGATGTGGATGTGGATGTTGTGGGAATAGAAGTTGTTGTGGACAAGACAGCATCAGAGAGAAAAGAAGATAGGAATGTTGTCAATGTTGTAGGGGAGGCTGGAGCGCATCCTGCAGATCACACTGAACATCATCCTGAAGATCATCCTGCAGACGAAAGTAGTCAAGCTATTCCAGTGGAGGATGAAAAAGCCATTACCTCTGTGTCTGATGACTGTGATCCTCAAGCAGTGGTGTCTTCAAGCATAGGAGAATTGGAAGAGACTCCAGATTTTGATCTTGCTGAAGTATCAGCATTTGTAGAAGATGCTGTTGTCCCCAATGTTGAAATGAGACAGGATAAAGACAGCAAGGAAGGCCATGAAGTCGTCGAAGCAGACAGTAAACCAAGCAGTGGCAATGGATCTATGCAGGACAATTCCAAATATTTGGACAGTTCGTTTGATGATAAAGAGAATGGCAGTGCCTCTGCTGACGAAATTGATGGGGAGTTTCCTGAGTCAGGTTGCCAAAATGAGGTTGTTCTTCCTAAGGTGAAAGAACCAGAGGAGAGACAAAGGAAAGATGATTCAGGCAATGTCTTTGACACTCTGCATAGCTGGCTCTCAATGAAGTGATTTCTCGTTCCTCATATGTGGAAATTTGACCATTTGTATTTGTGAAAGTAAAGGAATGATGCAACTCAAGGGGAAGTAATGAAAGTTGGTCTCCCTTTATAGAATCACTTCTCATATTTTCAATGCTATTTTGTTATCCCTGTTACATTATTTGTTCAGATATTTGCATTGGAAATGTAAACTTGATGTTACAATAAGAGTGATCAGAGTTTTTCCAGCAGATGATTGGTCAGTTGATTTGCTCTCAGGACCTTGTTATGATGATGTTGAGAATAAACCCCTCAAAATTCGGGCTTGAATGTTGTGTCACAAAACCAAACAAATTGCACTGCCAGATGTTTGTATATTTGATTGTTTAGAGTGTTGTAGCCATTGTTGTGTCTGATAATCTCATAATAATGGATTTGTATTGCACCTAGTTTCCACCATACAGTGCTCTAAACAGTTACATAGAGTAAGCTCTTTCTTATGGTTTTTGTTACCTGTAATCAAATTTGATGTACCATATTTCCTCTGTAACCATAACAAGCCTGGGTGTCAAGAGAGGAAATATAGTGGATTGATGTTTCCAGGTTCAGTTTCTGTTTGTATGACTAAATATGTTACATATCAGGGTACGAAATTACTTTTATTGAATTTCCATCCCTTTACTGTTACTTTCTTGTGTATATTTATGACTAAACCAAAATAAATGAAACCAAATATTTTTGAATAAACGTTATGAGAGCTATGATCTGTTTTGTTTTGTTGTCAGCTTTCATAAGGTTACAGACGACTGCCAAGAATAATCAACTTACGAAGAAAGTAATTTTTACATACACACAAAAAGCTACCACATGAGTTCTGTGATTACACACTTTCAGATCACTTGACTTGAATTTAACACTGAGGAGCTAGTGCACAAACACAACCACTGATACCTGTGGATGTTGACAATGGAATTTTAAACAAGAAGACAAAGTCATCAATATCCCCCGCAATGGCAAAATACTCTTCATGATCATGTCTACGAGTTATGATTATGTCAAATATTTAGGTGTGTATATAGAAAAGTGGAAGGAGAGTATTGAAAAGTTTTTAAAGTTCTGCTCCAGAAAGGAGCACTATCACCAATTTCAGTCTAAGTCAAACTTGTTGCCATGGAAATGCCAAAAATATTTTATTCAGAAATCCAAACTACCAAAAGGCACCAGTACACCACCAGATCCATGTATGTGCCAAGTTTGGTGAAGAAATATTGAACGGTTTTAGAGTTCTGCTCTGGAAAAGAGCACAACCACTAATTTCAGTCAAAGTCGAACTTGTTGCCATGGAGACGCCAAAAATATTTAATTCAGAATTCCAAATAACCAAAAGGCACCAGTACACCACCAGATCTATGTATGTGCCAAGTTTGGTGAAGAAATATTGAACGGTTTTAGAGATCTGCTCCGGAAAAGACATGTGCACGGAAGGCCGGACGGATGCACACACACACGGATGGAGTCCAATTTAATACCCCCCGCAAAACATGTTGCGGGGGATAAATAGGTGTTACATTATGTATTAAGGTATGTATGGAAGGCAACTCTTGTAGGCTTAAGAATGAACCTTACTACACCAAGAGTTATCTACCCTGGTGTAGCAGACAGCTTCCTTTGTTGACAAAGAAATTTGGTTCAAGATGATGTTGAAAGGGTATGACTAATGCGAAAGAGTTAGCTGGTAGACATGACATTCCTCTGTCTACAGTATACAGAACTTTGAAGAATGTGGGATTGAGCACAAGGCGGGCAGGGAGGACAAGGAAGTTCAGTACTGCGGATGGCCGGCGACTTGGTCAGATTGTGAATAGGGGAAAATTGAAAAGCGTTGAGAATATCAGAAATGAGATGATTAATAGAGGTATGTAATTAGACAAGAATTACAAAGACTAACTGGGTGGAATTCCAACACCATTCATGAAAGATGCACAAAAAGAAACATGTTTAAACTGGTTCACGAAAATCAATATTGGGATACTGTTTTCTTTTCTGATGAAAGTTCCGTCTGGCCTTTTTCTGAACTGCGTGAAAATGTGGACAAAAGATACCATGAAACTTATCTACCAACGCCCAAAATTTCACATGTGGGGTAATGCCATTGTGTATTTTCACTGGAAATTTGATGAAGGAACGATATGTTGACATCTTAAATGGCCCGAACACTGTATGAAGATAATTGGATTTTCCAGCATGATAACCACCCAAAACACACTGCGGGCTACACAAAACTGGTTGTCGGACGAAAATGTTCAAGCTCAGCTACTGCCCAGATCTTCACCCTATTGAGAATGGGTGGGGACTACTGAAGGACAGAATAAACCAAAAAGGACAAGAAGTGGTCGAATATTGGGATACGTTGACACATGATTTCCTACAAACTTTGATCGGTATTGTACCTTGGCGCATTCAGTCGTGTATTGCAGGGCAAGGAGGTCTCACAACGTACTGAAAAGACATTTAGACTGTATCAGAATCATATCTCAACATGTTCATTTAAGTAAAACTTCTATAGTTTACATACATGTATTAGATATTTGCCAAAACAACTTTCTCAATAATTTCTGGGAATGCTATAATAGAGAATGGAATAAGGAGTGATGTCACATTATTGATTCAAGTGTTGAAACAGCTAGATATTGGTTGTATATGTAACCATCTGTTTTGTAGGATATGTTGGCTTGACTGTGATGACAGTTTGTGTCTTTGCAAACTGTGATAGATTGAAATGACAACAAAGTCAGACCAGTTTGCTGGACTTACCTCTAGTTTATTTCACATATACAGATAATCAACATAACGGTAGAGACTGCAGAGAGTGACACAAGCACTTGGCAACTGCTACACAAAAACAAATTTCTCAAACATGATCGTAAGGATACCGGTACAGAGGTAGCGTCCTTACACTTGGTATATATTACATGACACGTTCACATACTCTGCATTGGGAGCATGCGTTCAGCATACGGACGCATGCACTCAACAACAGAGTGTACGTACGACCACCATACGCATGGTCTTGAGTTACCATGGTTACGAAAAATGAAATTTTTGTACTCGTATGAGGAAAAAATGATGAAACATTGTGGAGACAAGCTGCCACCACATCACACTGTGAGTTGTCTCCCTTGGAGAATTACCTCCCTTGAGACAACATACATGAATAATTTGCAGTTAACATCTTTCTCAAAACATTCACCCATTCACTCACAAAATGCTCATATGCTATAAGAAAGTCCTCACATAGATGTTAAATCTGTATATTCCTCATCTTTGGGTACTGGTCTAGCATTATCAGACAAATATCACAAGTTAAGGTTACCGTTCCAGGGGCCACCTAATGAGTAATGCCTGCCTTACAAAGTCAGTGATCATCCAGGAAAAGGGAACCTCTAGCTCATGGTGCAAAAGTCAACACAACAGTCCAACCAGTGGTGACATATCAGCCTCATGCTTTGCTTTCCATATTCAGTGAAAAAAACTCTACAGTTGCACTTAATATACAAAAACCAAAGTATTTCTAAACGTTATTTAAGAGATTTCAGAAATTTGTTGTTTTTGGGGCTTTCTCAAAATGTCAATTTGTTCTTTAATTTCATCTTTGAATTACTTGAAACAGTTTGACAAAGGCTTTAACCCATTGTGTTGACTTGAGAGCAATGACTGCACAGACCCTTTTCAGTGACACCCTCGTGATAAACTGAAAACAAAATACTAATTTAAATCTTCATGATAAAATACTGTACAAGCATTTTGATTCATAAACAACAAACAAAATCAAAACATTCATTCGCATGTATTATACAAGGTTAAAAGTTGAACATTACAGATGGCAAAATAAATAAATAAATAAGTAAATTTGATATAAAACTTAAATGACTCACAATGTTGAATACTTTCATATGAATATTGCACACAAGGTCTGAAGGAAACAATGAAGGGACTGTATCAAACGTTTCCATGTGATTTAAGAACATGTGTCAACTGATCATTTTTTGACCTGAGGACACTGACGGATGCCATTTGTGGAACACTTGTGGTGTATGTGAAATTTCTGCCAACATGACTTGAGACTGAATCTTGTGTGTAAAAAGCACATGTAGTTTTGACACAGTCCCTGATATACTATGGTTGGGAAGGCTATATTCACTGTTGAGCTATATAACACCTGTATTTAAAAACAACACGATGCCTTGAAGGACTTGTAAAACCAATGTAACATATACTAAATAAACAACCAGGATTGCTATACTATAAAGGAATAACATATGAAAGAGCAGCCCCAATAATTAAAACAAGGTAACATTTGATAACAGTTTGATTTGTTAATAATTTCACTTTTAATGCTTGTTATACTTCGAAAGGTGAAACATTCGAATTTCAAATGGTTTGTTATGTCATATGCATACAGTTCATAGTGCCATATTTCAGTAAAACATGATGGCCGAGGTTTCAGGTAGATCTTTGTAGTTCAGTAAATATACTGCAGTACCACACAGCATAGAATCTCAAAGTAAAATCTTTAACAGTTCATCAATTCTGCCATATACAACAAAATATATAAATAAAGAAAAAAATCTATTTCAATAAAATAATATTGAATGCAACATATCTGGCCATTTCTAGTTAGAACACTGTAGAACTTCTGCCATGTTTAGATAGAGCAAGTCTCAGATGTCACAGCGTGCACTCACTGGGATTCCCCAATACCATAAGGTTATCAAGCAAATGTCTGATAGGTTCTTTCTAATATAGAAAATTTTCCATAATGTCATCTACTGCTGAAGGAATAACAATTAATTCAATCACATATCACATACAATAATCTACATATCAGTTTGATTAGACAACAATGCTTGGAACCAGAACTTGACTGAATAGAAATTTCAAATCTAAGATCTTCTAATATAAAAATCACATTGAGATGCCAAAATATTAATCCTGTATCAGAAATTGGTCTAATGTCCTCTTGAGGAATATTCAAGAATATTTAAAACATAAATCTATTTTGTAACACTCACACAAAAATGGAAAATGTTCTGCAGAAAAAAAGGAGTCCAGGTTGTTATCCAATTTTTCTGTCTGAAGAACGTATCAGAATTTGATTTTCACATTTTCGCCCTTTAATGGAAGTTGTTACCATGGTTACAGAACTTGTACATCCTGCCTATGTACATACTAGTAAATGTGGCCACAACATGTAAAATTACACTGTTCTTGATAAAATAAATTTAACAGTCTATAATAATCATATTAATCTGATATAATGAATTATATACTATATAGTGAAAAACAAACGAACCCAGCATGCTGAGGTGCACAACCTTGGTCTAGCTACATAGTCATATAAAATGATAATGCAATGGGGATCATATCAAAAGTTCTAAAAGTCTAAATGAAACGGTAATCTCTGCTTACCAGTTAGCTCATTGGAGAACTAACAAGAAATAATCTGAATGAAAAACAATCATTGAAAGTGAGTCTAGCTAAACACTCAGAATTTGAACTTTTGAGATGACCCCTTTCTCTATAGCTTTTGTACAAGCTTGTATAAACAATACTTTGAATAACAGTAATTTAACAGAGCATACACCATATAACGCTATATTCAAGATTCATATAAACACATATGTTCATTTTTATCAACATGGAGACAGCATCTTTTATGCTTTGCACATCTTTTTTACAAGGACTACCATGGAAGGCTTAGGGGACGTCTCACAAGTTCTCAATTCTTTTCTAAATAAATCAACCTCCTTAACAATGAATTTAAATTCTTTCTTTATAAAATATGTAACACACCTGCTCTTTAGCAGTAAAAACTGCTTCATGATCTTAACCCAAGAATTTCTTTCTTGCACAATATGAATACTGCACCAACTCAAAAGGAACAGGTAGAAAAGATGCAACAGCTTGTGAAACCTCCCCTCGCTAGGCTCCTAACGTTTTTTCTATAAATGGCCGTAAAATTGAATAGTGAAAAACAGTTAATGTAAGTGTGACAAAATTAAACTGTTTATTGTAGATACAGATGTATCACATCAATGTGAGCATCATAACGGCTCACAATATTAATCTACACAAGACTCTGATAGTGTCCATTCATTGGCTTCCCGCAACATTCCAGGTCTAACCTAGGTTTCTAGAGAAATGCTTCAGTGGGAGAGAAAATATACACAGAACAATAAAACAAGAACATGTTCCCCTTGAGCCTGTTGTGTTAAATGTTCCAGATCATTTTCATTTATAAGTTACATATCTTTATGATCTGTGGTCTTGACACAAACCCATCAAATTCTAACAAACTCAGTTATCATAACTTCGAAGTACCAGAGTCAACATGTTGGTGTAAAAACCCAGCACACTAGGCTGAAACTGTAACTAAAACAGATCTTCCAGATAACATGAATTAAAACACAAAAATGAAATATTTAAATATGCTGAGATATAAAACTCAAAAACACTTCCCAAAACATTTCAGAAAGACTATTTCAAATTGAATATTTCGTTTCACTTGTTTCAAGAGGTGAAGTTGACAAGGGAGGTAACTCTGAACGCCTTCAATGATCGAATATCATTTGAGCAAGGTTAGGTGGGAGATCAGATGTTGTAAGCTAATGCCTGCAGAATACTTACAAAAGGACTGAGGTTCTCTCAAAGATGAATTCCTATGCCTCCTACGCCAAAGACAGAAATCCATTGAATATAGAGAGGCAAAAATGTCTCATAAGCAATACATTTTGGCCGATAGCATTCCAAGACCAACTATGTACCAACCTAAAGAAACTGCAAAAAACTCATACTAGATAAATATACAACTTTTCAACCTGAAAATTTGAAAATGACAAAATTTGGGCAAAGGGGCAAATTAAATGTCACTGAAAGACCGAAGGTATGACAGGATACCAGCAGGTAATGTCTTGCCTCCAGACAGAGGGGCAGGAAAACCTGGTTTGTTGTGTCATCCTTATCCAGGACTCATAACAGGCTCACTTTCTCATTCAACAATATCCACGGTACAGAAATAATATATGTTTTTAACATAATTTGGGGATAATTAATGCAAAAATCTGTTATTAGTTTGTTGAAGGTACAAAGAAACTTAGCATAATTGATCCTGTCATCATTGTCGAACAGAGTTTGAGACTTTGATTTCTGTTTGTCATGAGGTAAGACAGATGAAGATGGTTAAAAATCATGAAAATAGTCACGAAGAATTAATTATTAACATGTTGTTTTGATGCAAGATAACAGTGATTATCTCCCCTTCCTGAATTATTCCCCTTTCAGTTGCTGATCACACTACTGTGAGTAGGTAGATTGTATGTTGTTGTGATATAGCAAACTTGTTGGTCCCGATGGAACTTGAAAATAACAATATTTATTTATCTAAACAATGAAAACTGGCAAATTAGATCAAATTATCTGTGTGAAATTGAAAGAAATATGAGAGTATACAATGCCTGATTTGATCAAATAAAAACAGTGAAAAGTCTGAAAACAAAACCAAGACTAGTAGCTTGACACAATGGAGAAAAATGTATTATTCACAGCACCTGAACAGCAAAAAAGTCTGAATAAATTAATAAATAAATGAACAACAAATTAAATCCAGCGGAGTAGATTCTGTGACTGGGCTAATCTTCTTCTAACCTACAGTGCCAGAAGGAAGCATTGGTTTTCCACTATTCATGAGCACATTACAATGAGATCTGTTAGATTTGAACTTTTGTGACAATAAATACAATCTTAAACCCAACTCCTTCTCTTGCTCAACTAAAGTAAATTGTGTTATTAACGAGCAAATCATCTCTGGTTTGTTTACACATACCATATTAAAACACCAACCTTCATGTATAAATAAAGAAGACGCAAATAAACAGATGAAAAATTTAACAAAATATATGGCAATGACAATATGCATGGATGAATTTTTGAATGAGAAATAATTCCTAAGTATGTTAAAAGTAACTATGTACAGACATGCAGACTGACGTACGTACATACATACATACAAACAGAGTAATGGTAAGGTGCATGGGATAAGCTCCATATCCCTCTACAGAACGAGAGAACTAGGTACATATCTGAGCGTAATTATATTTATATATATATATTTATATATAAGTATATGTATAATAATATAATGAGTGATACAATAAAAATTGAAGCATTTTATGACTGAAAATATCTTTGACAACTTTGTTCACATAACACGATCTTTGTTAAGGAGTTGAGAGCAATACACTCTTTTCCTTGTCAACTTGGTAATCTGTTTAATTAGCCTTAGTATAGCCCTTCAACCCCCAAAATTCCAAATGGCACCTTCCATATGAGAATGTGATTGCTTACACTAAAGCTAGTGGGGGTATTAAGAGGTATGTCAATAATAAACAATAGATGACAACAGATTTGGTTTTGTCAAAAGAATGGTTTGCTTTTAACAGGGAGCCTACTACAAACAATAGGAGAAGATAACATTTGAAGACTTTCATATTTAGGACAAGCACCTTGGTTACACAAAAATGCATTTCTGCATGGCGTAACCAGATCTAAAACCTAATTGTTTATGTAACAACGAAAGTTATAAATCACATTTTTGCTTATGTACTGGATAAATGTGAACTAATTAACAAATTTACATTATTAATAATGCATACTTCTAGTATTAGTAACACTGAAACATATTCAACACCTCAAAATACTGACCAGATTTTCAATAATTAGTCATCCCTATATCCCATAACCATGAAGTAGATCAGATAAAGGAGTTATCTCCCCTTCATATTCACATTATTTATCTACATAGGTGTCTCCGCTACAGAAGTAGAAGCTGCAAGTCCATAACAGCATATCCTAATAATTGTCCACTGCCGAGTATTTTAGCCACCAATCAGTGATATTCGCTTTAACGTAAAGTTCATATTAATTTGGACACTTAACAAAAAATGCAATGTTGATAATATACACGACTTATCAAACAAAATCTGAATATCTGAACTGGAGTGAAATGTTATAACTTTAAGAGCAACGTTGGCAAGAAATAAAGAACTTGCACATAATAATCATTTTAAAAATATATATATATATATGTGACATGTCAGATCTTTCAAAAACAACAAAGATAGGAAATAAGTTCTCAACAAAATGTTTGGCTATAATTTAAAGCATTGTTTATTGACCAAGATGAACTGGAGTTCATATTCCTATTACTTGAGCGTGGTCTCCAACACAATCAGTTTTGAGTTATCTCCCTTTTGTTCTGAATTAGATCCCTTGGCATGTTTACTTGCAATATTGACCTTACTATAAAGCAATTCAAATATCAGTTTGTAACACATATTTTCATTAGTATTTGCTATATGGACTTCTGAATACTTTGATAAGGGCAGTGGTGATGCATACACTCCAAGTAAAATCTTTCTAGTTCTTGCACAGAGCACAGCAGGTATGGTATTTCAAATTCAACTAAAATACTTATCATGGTCTAATCATTAAGCTCAGTATTTCCAGAACAATGTAACAGTAACCTCTATAACATAATGAGTTTTATCTGGTCTGAATTACCGCTTCGTTTTGTTGGTCAAGTTTTCTGTTTCCTGTTCTCCCTTCAACTGACGGAGTCAGCTCGGAGTGACCATGGGTCGACTCTGGCAGCTGAGGGGTAACATGTACTTATGGTTTTGATACTTATGCTAGGGTAAAAATGGAGTTAAAAATATGCATAGAATCCTTGTCTGAATCCGGTGACACAGAGAACAGTTGAAGGAAAAGACACATTTAAAAGGGTAAAATGACAGATGGCAAATTTGATCTTGCTAGTGACTACACAAATCTAGGAAAACCCACTGCCTCCCTGTACCACGGCAAGATCCATGTACATTAACAGCCAATCAGATACTGCCCAGCTTTTGCTGCAGATCTGCAATATCAGGTACATGTCCAATCAAATCTTGAGGTACGCGTTTCGGCTCTGCGGGGCTTGGCTATATCACAGTCTGATTGTCGAACAGTCAAACATTTCTCTATCCGAAGTCCATCGTTGCCCACTGATGACCAATGGACAACTCGACCTACTGACAGGAAGAAAACAGATCTCAAATCAAAGCGTGTAAACTACTTGAAGCTAGGCAACAAATAGTTTAAATTTGTTATCTAACAAAAAGAAGTGAACATACCTCAAATCTAAGTCTGTTCACTGCCAACCAATACATGGCAACATATCTCAAATCATTGGCCTACCACTGGGTAGCAACCATATTTCCATCTCAGGTTTGTCAGTCGCCTTCCAAACGGCAGCAAGCACCAGGGTTTGTTCCATGACGCAGTATCCTAAATGTCCACTATCTGACTGTCAGACTCTTCGCCCATCAGTTGCTTGTTCGTGCGTTTGTCCTTGCCTTGTGAGGGTTCCCTCGGCCAAGCTCCAGACTATTGCAGCTACTTTTGGCATAATGTATATGTACATCACTACATACACAGCCCATCTCACTGGCTAATCTGAAATAGCGAGGACGACATCGTCAACATCACTGCACATGACTCAAGCAATATTTGTGTTCTGTCCTTTGTTTCATTTGTACAAACATAATTTTCAAAATCTATACGGCAAAGAAAGGGATTTAATTCTTTTTCGAAAGCTGACATCTGATCAGCCGATAGTCAAAGTTTACTCAGAGCATAGTTAACTGACGTGATGGTCTCTGGTTGGACAATGTCATCAGATGTTGACGCAAACACCTATCATCCCATATCAGCATAAGGTCTGAGTAAGGGAAGTAACTCACAGTGTTAAAGGGGTCCACTCTCCTCACTTGGAGACTGTGGTTTGAGAGGTTCATTCTCGGGGAAGAAGATACTAGGCTCCGTGTTCCGCCTCTTGATCTTGTTCTTGCTTTTCTTTAGCATAGTCGCCTGAAGAAACACACAACATGATACTGTGAGACTGTCAATGGTAAGAAACTACAGTTTATCAAGTAAATGAATCTTTTCCCCAAATGAAACAAAAACATGCTCATCATTTGAAAGTATCCAGCTCTGTACAGGGTCGACAAGCATATAATCTATCAATCCTGCCAATTTGAAAAATATATTCAGTGTTTTGGGGAGTGAGTTGGGTCTTATACCACTTTTAGCAATAATCCAGGAACACATCAACAGGGAACATGGAGGAAATGGACAGGGCACCGAACAAAGCCTCCATGTTATAAGTAACAGGTCACAGCCAAAACACTGTTTCAAGTTTTAATGCTTTGAGAATATTAACGTTAAAACCACTGTACGGTTCCCTACCTGACAATCTATTTACTAAGCATGTGACATAGCTTGTATACTAGCTGCATACCTTGAGGGCTGAGCGAAGAACTACAACTTGCCCAGCTGGCTGAATCCAAGGTTCACCATCAACTTGGACGGGGATGTCCGTCAACAATGTGATTCGTAGCTGAAGAGAGAATTCATTATAATCACAACAAACACATAGCAACCATTACCTCATTAACAGTAATAATGATAGAAAATCCTTCAATACATTACATAAAGTTGTTCCACATTAACTGTCAAAAACATTACATAAAGTTGTTCCACATTAACTGTCAAACACATTACATTAAGTTATTCCACATTAACTGTCAACTGTCAAAAAAACATTACATAAAGTTGTTCCACATTAACTGTCATATTAACTGTCAAAAACATTACATAAAGTTATTCCACATTAACTGTCAAAAACATTACATAAAGTTATTCCACATTAACTGTCAAAAACATTACATAAAGTTATTCCACATTAACTGTCAAAAACATTACATAAAGTTATTTCACATTAACTGTCAAAAACATTACATAAAGTTATTCCACATTAACTGTCAAAAACCTGAATGAACTCTGGCTGACGCAGCTTTAAACAGTATGGTCGTCACATCACAACATGTCATTCTAAAGGGGGACAAAAGCTAAAAGCAGGCAGTGGATATTTACCAATAATGCGTGGTGTGTTTTGGCATAAACCTGCTTACAGCATAAGACCTAACCATGCACAATCAGCCTTCCCACAACAAACCTGTGGACTTACATAGGCTCATTCCATGAAGCAGTCGTAATGCTAAAACTATCGGTAGTGAGTGAGTGAGTACGGTTTTAAGCAGCTTTTAGCAATATTCCAGCAATGTTACTGCTGGGGACACCATATACTGTAAAATGTGGGGAATCAAACCCCATGTCTTTGTCATGAAGCCTTAACCACAGGCTACTCCACTGCCCCCGTTTAGAGCAAGGGAACAACTTCGTCCTTGTAAGATCATTATTAACTTTTCTTAAGATCATAAGACTACTCAATAAAGCGAAAACAATCCGAAACAATGAAAACAATAGTTCCTTACCAGTCTCTATTCTATTATTGATATTTCTGATCTCCAACAAGAAAGAGGTCCCTCTACTTGTGATTGCAATCTTATGTCTGTGAAAAGTTGCTCTTCAATTGATCACTTTGAGGATATAACAAATGCAATTGTTTTGCTGATTGTAAGTGAAGATTGATTGCTGCACTAACCATATTGTGTAATCAGCAAATATTAATCCACAGTAGGCTGAGAATTCATACTGTTTTATGAGAAATAAGGCATATATCCTCAGAACAACAGACACCTGTAGCCATAAGCATGAGCAACAATATATGTTGTCAGGGAAAGAGCCTACTCAATACAAGGTAATAGCAAAGATTGGTTATTCAATAATAATCCATCCACACAGACAGTTACCATTTAAATCCCATGTTGGCATGGAGTTATGGGCCAACCATTTCTAATGTTTGGGCCTGGAATTCCACAGATCCTGATACAAATCTAAAAATAATCAAGGCTAAACCTCAAAATCCAATGATTGATATCGATAGCAACGATCCACACCCTTTGGGTACCATGTGACCAAACCTGACCACCTGATAGCCTCTCAGGGCCAGCATTGGTAGCTGGAAAAAAACAATTCTGAGATCCGCAAGGGGCTGAATGACTTACATGTCCTCCTTGTGCTATCCTCATCCCTGTACGTAGTCCACTGTGGATCTGTCCCATGTGCACGACCCCTGTCACACCAACCACCTCCAACATGCCGTCATAGTGAGTTGGTTTGGCAAAAATGTCCTCCTTTTCAGGGCCCCATGGGTTTGATCCTGAGGCCCAACTGAGGATGTTGAGAATAATGATTCCCTCTACCTGAGGTAAGTCAATCAGCTTGCCATCTACCTCAAGCTTGATATGGCGATGTAAATCTTTGCAAGATTTTCGATTCACCATTTTTCTCAGTCCCATTTTCAAATACACTCCCTTGTTGTGTAATCTGAAAAAGAGTGTTGGTTACAGGTTTAAAGGTTGTTTGCTCAATTATGGTTGAAATATGTAACCTTTTTAGACACACATATGCTCCTTCTAATGATTGGGCTATCGTTTTTATTTTCAAGTGTTTATACATTTGTTAAATCAAAGTCTTTCTTTCTTCCTGGTCAAGTATGGTAACCCATTTGAGTGATGAAAAATATATTCAAAGCAGGTCAAAAAGGGTAGGCAAATAACATTTTTTCACATTTGATATCATCTTTATTACATTATATTATGTGCTAACAACAAAAAAGGGGATCAAATAAACAAATTATACTTTCTACATATTTTCAAATTTACTGGCAACCCTGTTCTCTTTGATGTACCGATTGGTGAGTAAAAAGTGCCTCAAATCAAAGGTCTTAATTACCTGTTAAAGTAAAAAAAATTTCATTTTATTTCTTGATTATTCGAAAAATTGTTCTTCAACAAAATCTTACTAGAACACACACCTGCTATTAAACTTGTCTGGTTTTTCTTCCCTAGCCATGTGGAAATCTAAGCACAAGTCTGCATCAATCCCAATGCCAAAGTAGTTGTTCATCACAAATATTGACGAGGTGTCCTCGCTGGTGTTGGCAGTGTTGGTATCGTTGGCGATGGCCACTCTTGTCTCAGCCTGCTCCTTTTCCCTCGGATGGAATATCACGGTCCACCTTGAAACAGACCATTCATAAGCCTCGTTTATATTCAATACATTCATACAATACCTATGACTATTCTGATTTAGGAAATATTGAAAAAAGCGACCTCATTTCAAGTGAATTGAGACACAAAATACAACAGAACCTGACTTTACACTAGTTACATTAGGGTTGTATGGGACGAAATAATATTTTTCAAGAACTGAAAATGTTCATACTGCCAAAGGATGTGTATTGAATCGATAACATTACATGAAGGTGCATTTTGGGGGTGTTAAAAGTTGTTCTGGACTGCAGTTGTTGGTGTAAAGCATCTACTGACCTGTCCAGCTTGATCTCCTCAGCATCTATGACATCCCGGAGGAGGTTGAGTGGGTCCTCCCCTCCTGTGTAGCCTGGTCCCCAGCGTAACACACGTGCCAGGTCATTGCCTGCACATCACGAACACACTCTCAGTGGTAGAACAAATGTTATTTTTATATTGATAATATGGGCCGGCTGCAAACTTGCCAATGAAGTGTTGATAGAGATCATGACACTACTGTGATAGAACCTTATGCTAACAAGTGACTGATAAGTGACTGATAGTGGACTCTCAGCATGGTGACTCAAAATGTGAACAGGCTCAGCTGTGCCTTGACACAGTGGCTCTAGGAGGACTGCACCTCAGCCCACTTGGCCACAAGTGACTCTCAGCATGGTGAAAACTCTGAACAGGATGACACAGTTTTGATAGTGTGTGTAACTCTACAGGATTTTTGATAGTCTGTGTAACCGGAGCTTAGTACATACTGGAGCCTTAGAGCTAATGTACGTACAGATATCACCTAAATTTTCTTTCACAGATTATGCCCATGGCGATTAAGACATGAAAATGTCCCTGAATGGACAGAAATTCTTATGTCAACATATTTCCAACTGTATTTATTTCAGCATTGTTATGGTCTGTGCTTACCTGTGCCCAGGGGAACGACCGCCATGGGGGGAGACTGACAGACAGCATCCTGCCCCACGTTGTCCAGACAGGAAAGAACCCAGCCCACTGTGCCATCACCCCCACACACCAGTATCTTGTAGTAGGAGATGTTTCTACACACATACAACCTGAAACAACACAACATCATGTCAAGCCCAGGAAGTTGTCAGCAATACCTTTTGAGGATCCCCCGGAACATGGGGTTCAAAACATGAACATAGGGTCCTTGGCACGAACATGGGGTCCAAGACATGAATATTGGGTCCATGCAAGAACATGGGGTTCAAAACATGAACATGGGGTCCAAGACATGAACATGGGGTCCAAGAACATGAATATTGGGTCCAAGACATGAATACTGGGTCCATGCAAGAACATGGGGTCCAAGACATGAATATTGGGTCCATGCAAGAACATGGGGTCCAAGATATGAATATTGGGTCCAAGATATGAATATTGGGTCCATGCATGAACACAGGAGTTCTGAGCTTGAGACCCATTGCATAAATTACTTGATTACTTAGACATTTACTGATGTCATATAATTAAGCCTTTAATTGATATTATAAATGGGATTTAAAAAAGCGAACACTGACTTAGATTTTTCTCACCAGGATAGATGTCAGTTCTATGCATCATGCAATCTTCATCTTTGATTACTCGGAACGTAAAACAGTACTATAGAGTATGGGAATTAGGGATCCTCTTAACATGACTTGTATAGGACATAATAATTAACATGGGGACAAATCTTGCATGCTCTTTTTGAGGTCCACCTACCCTGGTAGCGGGCCTCCGTTCTCCAGGTTGAAGACCTGATGAGGGTTGAGGAGTTTGCGGAAAGACGTTATGAGTTCCAGACCTTGACACCCACCACTCTTGACATTGACGAACACGAGCAGTGGATTCACGTTGTCTGGAATCATGTGGGCCTGAGGACCAAATGCATCATAATTACAGAACTTGCCCTCAGGTGAGGTGAGGTGAGGTGAGGTGAGGTGAGGAGTTGGGGTGAGGTGAGGTGAGGTGAGGTGAGGGAGTTGGGGTGAGGTGAGGTGAGTTGAAAGTCAAGTAATATCCACAACAGCTTGCCAAGCTGTGGTATAAGCAGATTAATGATTGAATGGTTAGAGTCATGGAGCTTTATAGATTGAAGTGACTTGCTAACTACAAACATCTGTTTAAGAGAATAGTTTTGATGGAAATATCAAGTCTTATTTCCTGGTTGCTGAACATATGCAAATAATCAAGTCTGGACTGAACAATAAAGTGTTGCCACAATGAGCATCAAACTTGGATACCATGCATCTACAAAGTTGGAGAATCTAGCCATGTGATGGTCTTGGTCAACTCTTAGTACAAGCTTCTCTGGGTCAAAGTTATTTGAGTTAACTGGCCCAAACAGATTATATTTAGGCAAGGGCTCAGGGCAAATAGCTGTGCTTTTAAGATTGCAAATGAATGTAGAAGTTTACTTACTTGTATATTTGGGAGTAACATAACTAAAAGTTGCTTATCATCAAAAACTGCATCCTTTAAAATGTTGAAGACTTGCGTAGCTTTCTCTGGCGACGTGTACACTAATACCAGGGAGCCGTACTCATAGTATATCACATCAAAGCTTTGCCACTTCAATTCTGTGGAAATTGAACATATACAAACTGTATCATCAAGGACATAAAATATATTCCTTCTTCAAATATATGGCAGTGTATGAAATAAGCCATAAACCAAGCCAGACATCGGGCGGTGGGACGGGCCTCATTTCATACACTGTATATGGACTACTAAGTCTCGGGCGGTGGGACGGGCCTCATTTCATACACTGTATATGGACTACTAAGTCTCGGGTGGTGGGACGGGCCTTATTTCATACACTGTATATGGACTACTAAGTCTCGGTGGTTGGGACGGGCCTTATTTCATACACTGTATATGGACTACTAAGTCTCGGGTGGTGGGACGGGCCTTATTTCATACACTGTATATGGACTACTAAGTCTCGGTGGTTGGGACGGGCCTCATTTCATACACTGTATATGGACTACTAAGTCTCGGGTGGTGGGACGGGCCTCATTTCATACACTGTATATGGACTACTAAGTCTCGGGCGGTGGGACGGGCCTTATTTCATACACTGTATATGGACTACTAAGTCTCGGTGGCGATTGGGGCGGGCCTTATTTCATACACTGTATATGGACTACTAAGTCTCGGTGATTGGACGGGCCTTATTTCATACACTGTATATGGACTACTAAGTCTCGGGTGGTGGGGACGGGCCTCATTTCATACACTGTATATGGACTACTAAGTCTCGGGTGGTGGGGACGGGCCTTATTTCATACACTGTATATGGACTACTAAGTCTCGGGTGGTGGGCCGGGGCCTTATTTCATACACTGTATATGGACTACTAAGTCTCGGGTGGTGGGGACGGGCCTCATTTCATACACTATATATGGACTACTAAGTCTCGGGTGGTTGGGACGGGCCTTATTTCATACACTGTATATGGACTACTAAGTCTCGGGTGGTGGGACGGGCCTTATTTCATACACTGTATATGGACTACTAAGTCTCGGGTGGTGGGACGGGCCTTATTTCATACACTGTATATGGACTACTAAGTCTCGGGTGGTGGGACGGGCCTTATTTCATACACTGTATATGGACTACTAAGTCTCGAGGTGTGGGGCCGGGCCTCATTTCATACACTATATATGGACTACTAAGTCTCGGGTGGTGGGACGGGCCTTATTTCATACACTGTATATGGACTACTAAGTCTCGGGCGGTGGGACGGGCCTTATTTCATACACTGTATATGGACTACTAAGTCTCGGGTGGTGGGACGGGCCTTATTTCATACACTGTATATGGACTACTGGAAGCCTTCTACACTGTATATGGACTACTAAGTCTGGTGGCCCAGGCCTTATTTCATACACTGTATATGGACTACTAAGTCTCGGGTGGGTGGGACGGGCCTCATTTCATACACTGTATATGGACTACTAAGTCTCGGTGGTGGGGCGGGCCTTATTTCATACACTGTATATGGACTACTAAGTCTCGGGTGGTCGGTGGGGACGGGCCTTATTTCATACACTGTATATGGACTACTAAGTCTCGTGGGTGGGGCGGGCCTTATTTCATACACTGTATATGGACTACTAAGTCTCGGGTGGTGGGACGGGCCTTATTTCATACACTGTATATGGACTACTAAGTCTCGGGTGGTGGGACGGGCCTCATTTCATACACTGTATATGGACTACTAAGTCTCGGGTGGTGGGACGGGCCTTATTTCATACACTGTATATGGACTACTAAGTCTCGGTGGTTGGGACGGGCCTTATTTCATACACTGTATATGGACTACTAAGTCTCGGGTGGTGGGACGGGCCTTATTTCATACACTGTATATGGACTACTAAGTCTCGGGTGGTGGGACGGGCCTTATTTCATACACTGTATATGGAGTACTAACTCAGGACCAAAACAAATATATCTGCTTTAACTCTAACAGGAAATACAAGAAGACTATTCTGGTTTATCGTAAGAGTAAGTTAATCTGTACTTGAGAATTCTCGAAACGATCATAAGGTTGTTTTTAGTGCTGTATAAGAGAAGGTACTGAAGGAGACAAAACTTGGTTCAAATGGCAGTTCTCTTTGCTAAACCCATTTAGTTAGTAATGTTTTCCCCTAAGGCAATGTCTAATACTACAATGGAATTGTTTAATCTAAAAGGATAATTCTCAAGGGTTAATCTTTACAACAATTGAATATACTCGTAAAAGTAGTACTTGAATGATTATGAGGAAATGTTTTTCTCACCTTTTCCAATTATATCTAATAAAATTTTCTCATATTGCCTCTGCGACAAGCCTGTTGGTAAATTGCCCACAAACATGGAGATAGCTGGCCCATGGGGGTCCTCCTTCTGCTGGAGGTAGAACCGAGTCATGCGATTCTGCCGTAACGAGTCCTGAAATCAGGTGCAATCAAAATTAGACTAAGGAACAATAAACTAAAAAATAAACACACAAACACAACTTATGTCATGTTCTGCATGTTTTTCAGCTCCATACTCAGCAATACTGCAGCTATATGGCAGCGACATGCACAACATATCGAGTTGATCAGGCACAGTTGCGAGCCTTCAAAAATTTAAAATTTCAATGTTTCGGCCATTTATTGTAAAGACACAAAAACCTGATAATAAATAGGACAATTAGGCCATATGATTAACTCAGTTATAAATCATATCGCGCAGTTTCCATTTTGACAACAATAACTTCTGATCATATGAGTGGAGAATCTCTATTTGACAGATTGAAGACAATAAACAAACTTCATACGCTCATGTTCACTGCATAGGGTGTTCAGCTAGATACCACTCTTTACTGGTGTCCATTAAAAAGTAGTCCTTGTGGGTTTTTAAATACACACTGGAATATTGTTCACATGAATAAAGGCCGAAATCAAATTTCTGTATGTTAGTTGCAGGTACATAACTAATACATATGTCTTAGGACAGTTACCAATTTTGGGGTAAGTGAGTGAGTGTGTGAGTGAGTGAGTCAAGCTTTATGCGTGGTATTCCAGCAATATCATCAGAGGGGGACACAGAAATGTACCCACATGAAGAAATGAATATGACATGACAAGCATGTGCTTTAACCACCAGGCTACGCCACTGCCCTTTCTAGTTCATGATGAGACGGACAAAAATGTGTACTTGCTTTTCTACTTTGTTGTATAATTTGCCATGGCCTCTCATCCCGCATGAGCACCCTCTCGTTGACGCCGCGGTCTAGCAACACCTCAATCAGGCTGTAGTTGTCAGGGTCAGCATCCTGAAGAAAACATGAAACCATGTACATCCGCAACACATGAGACAAAACCATGTACTTCCTCAACACATGAGACAAAACCATGTACATCCTCAACACATGAGACAAAACCATGTACATCCTCAACATATGAGACAAAACCATGTACATCCTCAACACATGAGACAAAACCATGTACATCGTCAACACATGAGACAAAACCATGTACATCGTCAACACATGAGACAAAACCATGTACATCCTCAACACATGAGACAAAACCATGTACATCCTCAACACATGAGACAAAACCATGTACATCCTCAACATATGAGACAAAACCATGTACGGAAAATTATATTTTCGTTTCATGGAAGACCAAATCCAGACTTTTTGTAACATCATTAAATGAAATCGGCTGGTTCATCAGACTTATTTATCCATCGTATTGCAGATAACACAATATTCTGACAATCCATAGTTAATGCTTTCCAACTAGCATGTCAGATTAATGTCTCTACATCCTGAGTAATCTCCCTTTACTAATCACCTGAACAACAAGTGCTATCCTTGCTCCAATATGAATATAAAAGGAAAATCTTGCAACACCCAAAGAAAGAAATTGATACCAATCACACCCTTAGATTTATGATCACTTGCTTTGGTCATATGATTGTCATATGATTAATCATGTGACTGGCCACTTACTTCAACCCCAAACCTCCTGAGTGCAGTTGTGATGACTTCCTCAGCGGTCATCTCTTTGTTGACCGAGATGTTTTTGTAGCCTGCGGTCACTCGATGGCAAATGCTGAAACATAAAAATATTTGGAATGGATGGAAATTGTATTTTGGAGATTTCTTCAGTACATCTTAGTCTCAACACAGGGATTATATCTAATTTTGCTGACCTTAGTTGAACAAAAGTTAGGCTAGACTCTGCCATGCGGCTCAAATTACTGACTGCACTCTTCTGGCAGTTAATTCTCCATTTCTTTCTCCTGATGTTTGTTTCATCCAAATATTGTTTGATGATTCCAAATTATTCAACTTGGATTGTTTATGGTCTGGCTGCCTGGCCCAGCTTCCAGCTCTACCACAGGTTTCCAACTGATATTTTGAGCACCTGCCTCGTGTGCCTACCTGTATCGGAGTCCGCCTGGGTACACTCTAATATGGCCTTTGTCTGGGTTCTTGTCCTTGTATCGTAGAAATATGGACGGCCGCTTTCCATCAGGGGTCTTAAGCTGCGATCGAATTGGACTGTTTTCTTCTAGTTCCCTCTCACCTACAACATTCACTGAAAGCAATGAAAAAAAAGCTATAAGAAAATAAACTCTACAGCAAACAAAGGAGGCATTCAGCAACTAGCTACTTATAATGGCCATGCAACATATTATCTCAACATAAATATGGCAAAAGTGTCACTTTTACTATAGTACTGGACTTCAAAGGTTGCATTAGGACAATACTAAGGGGCTTCAGGCCATCACTGGGACAATACTATAGGACTCTGAATTCAAAGTGTCACTGTGACAATACTACAGGGCTTCAAGGTGTCACTCAGACAATACTACATGACTTCAATGTGTCATTAGGAATATTACAGAACTTCAAAGCATCACTAGGACAATACTACAGGGCTTCAAGGTGTCACTAGGACAACACTACAGGGCTTCAAAGTGTCACTAGGACAATACTACAGGGCTTCAAGGTGTAACTAGGACAATGCCAAAGGGCTTCAAGGTGCCACTAGGACAATACTACAGGACTTCAAAGCATATGGACAAAACTACAGGGCGTCAAGGTGTCACTAGGACAATACTACATGGCTTCAAGGTGTCACTAGGACAATACTACAGGGCTTCAAGGTGTCACTCAGACAATACTACAGGACTTCAAAGCATCACTAGGACAATACTACAGAGCTTCAAAGCATCACTAGGACAATACTACAGGACTTCAAAGCATCACTAGGACAATACAACAGGACTCCAAAGCATCACTAGGACAATACTACAGGACTTCAAAGCATCACTAGAACAATACAACAGGGCTTCAAAGCATCACTAGGACAATACAACAGGACTCCAAAGCATCACTAGGACAATACTACAGGGCTTCAAAGCATCACTAGGACAATACTACAGGACTTCAAAGCATCACTAGAACAATACAACAGGGCTTCAAAGCATCACTAGGACAATACAACAGGACTCCAAAGCATCACTAGAACAATACAACAGGGCTTCAAAGCATCACTAGGACAATACAACAGGACTCCAAAGCATCACTAGGACAATACTACAGGGCTTCAATGTGTCACTAGGAATACTACAGGACTTCAGGTGTTCACTGGGACAATACTACAGGACTTCAAAGCATCACTAGGACAATACAACAGGACCTCAAAGCATCACTAGGACAATACTACAGGGCTTCAAAGCATCACTAGAACAATACAACAGGGCTTCAATATGTCACTAGGAATACTACAGGACTTCAGGTGTCCACTGGGACAATACTACAGGACTTCAAAGCATCACTAGGACAATACAACAGGACCTCAAAGCATCACTAGGACAATACTACAGGGCTTCAAAGCATCACTAGGACAATACAACAGGACTCCAAAGCATCACTAGGACAATACTACAGGGCTTCAAAGCATCACTAGAACAATACAACAGGGCTTCAATATGTCACTAGGAATACTACAGGACTTCAGGTGTCCACTGGGACAATACTACAGGACTTCAAAGCATCACTAGGACAATACAACAGGACCTCAAAGCATCACTAGGACAATACTACAGGGCTTCAAAGCATCACTAGGACAATACTACAGGACTTCAAAGCATCACTAGGACAATACAACAGGGCTTCAATGTGTCACTAGGAATACTACAGGACTTCAGGTGTTCACTGGGACAATACTAAAGGACTTCAAAGCATCACTAGGACAATACTACAGGGCTACAAAGCACTATTAGGACAATACTACAGGGCTTCAGGTGATCACTGGGACAATACTACAGGGCTTCAGGTGATCACTGCGACAATACTACAGGGCTTCAAAGCATCACTTGGACAATACTACAGGACTTCAGGTGTTTCCTGGGACAATACTACAGGACTTCAAAGCATCACGGACAATACTACAGGGCTTCAGGTGTTCACTGGGACAATACTACAGGACTTCAAAGTGTCACTAGGACAATACAACAGGGCTTCAATGTGTCACTAGGAATACTACAGGACTTCAAAGCATCACTAGGACAATACTACAGGCTTCAAGGTGACACTAGGAAAACACTACAGGACTTCAAAGCATCACTAGGACAATACTACAGGACTTCAAAGCATCACTAGGACAATACTACAGGACTTCAAAGCATCAAGCATACACTAAAACATCATGACAATACAGGGACTTCAAAAAACACTAGGACACTACAGGACAATGTGTCACTACAGGACTTCAAAACATCACTAGGACAATACTACAGGTGATCACTGGGACAATACAACAGACCTTCAATGTGTCACTAGGAATACTACAGGACTTCAAAGCATCACTGGGACAATACTACAGGGCTTCAAGGTGTCACTAGGACAATACTACAGGTCTTCAGGTGATCAATGGGACAATACTACAGGACTTCAAAGCATCACGGACAATACTACAGGGCTTCAAGGTGTCACTAGGACAATACTACATGGCTTAAGGTGCAGTATGTCAAAGCTACTGTGCTCCAAGGTGCCAATATGTCAATACTACAATGTTTCAAGATGTTACCAGACAATACTATTGGACTTCAGGAGGTGTGAATGTGCACAGAAAATCTACTCAAGTAAGTGCAGTTTCTATCTACACAAACTCATCTACAAAATGCTAATCATGTCCATCCACTTAGTGGAAAGGCATGATGGTCAACTTGTTTTAACTACCCAGGGAACTTACCTGTCTCTGACGCCTCCGACACATAGTAATTTTTGGGATCATCTGATATGTGGAATGTTTTCAGAGCCGCCTCCTGAAGGTAGACATTTTCAAGTTATGTATTCGGTTCTCATTTTCCAAGTTTATTTATAATTAATGAGTGATGTGACTATTTTTCCGTATGTCATTTTTGCGAATCCAGGCCTGAGAATGAAAATCAAGGTTCATTTGTCAGAGAAACAAGTTACAAGCTGTTATTCAATATTTCACTGCATGATTTCAGAAAAAAAATGTAGAAATTGGAAAAAAATTGTTTTTCTAAATTAATCAACTCCAGAAAATACATTATGGGAGATAACTCTTACCAGGATGGCTTGAGCTGATGCGTTCCTGGGGACTGATATTGTGCGGTAGAGTCGCCTCTTTAACGAGGCGTTCCCATCAAACACTCGAATAATTTCCGCTGAAAAAAGAAAGCAGACATGGTTATCAAAATGTGCCTTAAGGTATTTATGCTAAAAAGTTTAATTATTAATGTCTGGCAGAAATACAGAGACCGTGAAAATCTCCGTTATTATTGGTCTTCATGTTACTAAACGGACAGGGTGTTCAGGCAGTGTGATTTAGTTAATGCATGTCATTGTATGCTAATTCTGCAGAGACCTCTGAAGATCCGCGGTAGAATAGGTCTTCAGCAACCCATGCTTGCCACAAAAGGTGACTATGCTTGTCGTAAGAGGCGCCTAACGGGATCTGGTGGTCAGGCTCGCTGACTTGGTTGACTCATGTCATCGGTTCCCGATTGCGCAGATCGATGCTCATGCTGTTGATCACTGCAATGTCTGGTCCAGACTCGATTATTTACAGACCGCCGCCATATAGCTGGAATATTGCTGAGTGCGTCATAAAACTAAACTCACTCACTCACTAATTCTGCAGATCAATGATCCTAATATCAATCACTGGAATGTCTGGTCCACACTCCATTATTTACAGTAGTCCATCAGCTAGCATATTTCAAGAAAAGCAAGGAACAATATAATTATTATGTACTTACTGTCGGTGTCTTTGTCTTTATCCTTGCTGTCCTTCTCTCGGGGAGAACGACGTTCACGCTCCTCTTCTTCGTTCTTGGAGTCGCCGCTAGACGACCACTCCTCAGACACAGTTCGTACTGCAACATGTGGGGTGGGAAGGTGAAATAGGTTCATCATTATGTTCCAGATCACATGTGCCAGTGTGAGAAATAGCTATGCCTGAAAGTTACTAGCCCACAATATAATTCACTAGCCCGGAATAGATGCAACATTAAAAATATCTGCGAAACAACACAGAAAAGAGAGATACTGCATATAATATCAGCAGCACTTAAAGAAACAGATGAAATAAAATACTATTTACTGTCATAGTAATATTCAGGATAACAGGATAACTTTTCTAACATACACTGAGACTTAATATGCAATCAATGCAAGGACACCAAGCCGAAAAGGTTTTCAGTAGAAATCATTGAATACAATCGAAAACTCACTGTCTCGAACTCGTGGAGTTATCAAGGGTTCAATACCCAGTCATAATAAAAACCGAAAACAAGCACATCCCTCTGTGCATGTTATATATATGATATACTGCTATATGCTGAAACATCTGGACAATGCGATGCTGTCAGGCCGCTTCAGATGTTCATACATACAGAAATTACTGCTTCAATGAGGGAAGATGTACTTCTTTAGTTAACCATGGTGGCCAATACTCTGGCTAGTTATTGGTGTCCTGTTGTTTGACAGTTTGACATTATGTTCCAGCTATTACACTTGATAGAAATACAAACTTTGTTCTATTTATATTCAGTTATGACAAGAAAGGCTAAATTTTATATATTTTGGGCTACACAGTTACATCGGGACAACCAGTAATTGGAAACATCCAGTTCTACATATCCATGAATATGTATACTGTGACAAACGAGTAAGAGTTTTGAGACAATGGAATTTGACTATAGACATAGCTGTCAACATTTTACTTACCAGGTAGTGCTGCAGGACAGATGGAAAGGAAACACAGAGCATTAGTAGCAGAATAAACTCATAACAACATGAGCGGGCAATAAGGACATATTCACCATGACTATAAAACAACAGTTCAGTAGCTTTTACTGTAGGATTCAAGATTTGGTTCATTGCCTGAAGTAATTACAAATATTCCTTCCTTAAACAGTGATTGGGAAAGGCAGGGGCCATGGCCATTTTGCACATTAGAATAAAAAATGTCCCATTCAAATTTTGAAGTTTACTATTGATACAAGGGCAGTGGCCCATTCTAAATTCAGAAAATGGCTAATGATCCTGAAAATGGCCCATTGTCAAAATTCTCCATGCCAATCCCTGCATAATATGTGGTTAGCACAATACAGCTACTTAATGCATAGGAGATCCAGTCCAAGATTGAAACAGTCTCAAACAGACTTTGACACAATGTTTATCAGTTTTCCATGGAGGTGGGGTTTCTAGTAAATAAATATGTTTTAGTGTTTTAAATGCATCTTAAAAGAATAGCTAGATACTCTTTCTCTTCAAACATAATTTTATGACTAAAATTAAGATATCGCCTGAAACTTCAGAAAATTTAAATTTGTTTTGACATTACACATAAGTCAAAGAATAAGTTTTTACAAAGCGCTTATACAGCAAACAAGGGTCAGCATTCCTGTAAACACTGTAGACATATAATCCCAGGCTGGATGTTCAACAACAAACACAAGCCAGCATATCAAGGGTGGCAAACTCAACACACAATCCCAGTGTGACAGGATATGGCTGAACACAGCATCCTCCACATCATCTACCTGACATGAGAGGTCGTTACACTCATGCATAACATGCACACCTGTAATTTCTGTAGTACAGTGAAGTCAGGTGTAACAACTGTCATACCGTCTAGAATGACCACTGCTCAACACATAGGGAGAAACTTGCACAAAATGCCAAAGCACAAATGTTGGCAACTTGAAAATAATTTTTAAAATATCATAAAAAAGCACTAAATTCACAACTGGTAAACCACCTGGTATACTGCACTCTGATTGTTCCGTTACAGCCAAGCTCCACAGATCTTCACCAAATACACATGGACAATGGTAAACGACTACCAAACTGATTAAGGCAGTAAAAACAACACCCAGAGCTTCCCGTCACACCATTTCCATACAGAAACATGTCAAATGGTTTATACTGCGGATATTAAATGAATAATGAATAATTTATCTTACTTCATCCGAATCGTCAAGCCAAATACAACAAATCTATTGCATCAGTTTGACTATCAAACATATTGTGCATTTGGTGTATTTTGAGTCATATTTTTCCTTAATTGAATGTCACAATCAGCCTTCTAAATTCACACTTTTCTGCAAGCCCGAGACTCCTCAATTATGCTTAGGACAAGTAATAAGCTAACAACTGACTTGCTGTTATTCAGGGCTTCAGTTCTGAACCAGTTCTCAAAACTTCAAATCTGTTACACATTTGTCTGAATAGAACTGATAAAATATGTAAATATAGTTAATATTTCTGTCAGGTAGGACTCTGACGAGTGGAAAGGAAAGGATTTCGCTAGTCAAGTAAAGGAAACTTTAGATCTAAGGTTACACGATACTTGGGGTATGTATTAAAAGTGCGAGAAGCTCTGTTGTCAACTGAAGAAACTAAATGATATGACGACGAAAGCGGGTGCCTACTGGTTATCCTACTTAGTCCGAGAATAGTCTCCACAGGGACGTCCATTCTGGGGATGGTGAGGCAGCTCGGGGGAAGCATAATGTCGCGGAGACTACCGAACTTGCACTCCGCTGGTAGGCTGCGGTAACACAGGGCATGTGCCTGAAACAACACAGTATCATTAGTCAAACAACACAGTATCATTAGTGAAACAACACAGTATCATTAGTGAAACAACAGTATCATCAATATAGGTCATCGTCATCTAACAGTGCTAGATACACACATATTTCATATCTAGTCTCAATACAGACTGGCGTAGAGCATCGTCATCTAACAGTGCTAGATACACACATATTTCATATCTAGTCTCAATACAGACTGGCGTAGAGCATCGTCATCTAACAGTGCTAGATACATGTGCACACATATTTCATATCTAGTCTCAATACAGACTGGTAGAGAGCATCGTCATCTAACAGTGCTAGATACACACCTATTTCATATCTGACTGACTGACTGAGTTTTGGTTCTACGCCGCTTTTAGCAATATTCCAGCAACATCACAGCGGGGGACACCAGAAATGGGCTTCACACATTGTGCCCATGTGGGGATTCGAACCCGGGTCTTCGGAGTGACGAGCCAACGCTTTAACCATTAGGCTACCCCACCGCCCCTATTTCATATCTAGTCTCAATACGGACTGGTGTAGAGCATCGTCATTTAACAGTGCTAGATACACACCTATTTCATATCTAGTCTCAATACGGACTGGTGTAGAGCATCGTTCATTTACAAGTGCTAGATACACATCTATTTCATATCTAGTCTCAATACAGACTGCCGTAGAGCATTGTCATCTAACAGTGCTAGATACACACCTATTTCATATCTAGTCTCAATACAGACTGCCGTAGAGCATTGACATCTAACAGTGCTAGATACACACCTATTACATATCTAGTGTCAATACGGACTGGTGCAGAGCATCGTCATCTAACAGTGCTAGATACATGTACACACATATTTCATATCTAGTCCACAGGTACAGATAACTTTTTGGTCATTTGAGTTATGTACTCGCTTGTGTTCATCTCAATTGGGTATTCTAATTTTCCTTTGAGTAAGCAAATAAATTGTACCCACCTGACTCAAACTCAATTGGGTATTTTGCCATTTTTCAATAATTGCAAAAAATATATAATAAAGTTTAAATGTTGGTTTACGTGTTTGTTATTCATATTTGATCTGTTGTATGAGAAACGATAAGAAATACTCCTGAAAAAGAACCTCTCAATATACCTCAGATATTTTATCTATTTTTGTTTGTACACATGTAAGATCAAATTTATTGAGCATTTACAAATCTTAAAGCGTACTTGTACGCAATAGACTTAATAGGAATTGAGTTTTCGCATAAATATTTGTGTAACTTACTTATCTGTACCTCTGTCTAGTCTCAATACAGACTGGTAGAGAGCATTGTCAACTAACAGTGCTAGATACACACCTATTACATATCTAGTCTCAATACGGACTAGTATAGCTCATCATTAACTAACAGTGCTAGATCCACACCCATTACATATCTAGTCTCAATATGGACTGGTAGAGAGCATCGTCATCTAACAGTGCTAGATACACACCTATTACATATCTAGTCTCAATACGGACTGGTAGAGAGCATCGTCATCTAACAGTGCTAGATACACACCTATTACATATCTAGTTTCAATACAGACTGGTGTAGAGCACCTATTACATATCTAGTCTCAATACAGACTGGTGTAGAGCATCATCATCTAACAGTGCTTGATACACACCTATTACATATCTAGTCTCAATACAGACTGGTGTAGAGCATCGTCATCTAACAGTGCTAGATACACATTTATTTCATATGTAGTCTCAGTACAGACTGGTGAGAAACATTGTCATGAAAAGTGAAAGAGACACACTTATCTCAGCATGTTTTATCTAGGCTATTTCAAAACCTGATATAGTATGATTGATCATACAGTTATGAAAGACTCGTGCCATAGATACATTGATAATTCAATTCTCATGATAGTTATGTGAGTCACTGTTGATAAGGGTCTGTATATCAGATAGATCATGCTGAGTGAGAGGCACTACGAGCCTTGACGTGCCCAACCCTACTGTCCCTTCACTCAGCTGTCACCGCAACTGCCTGTTTCAGCACACTAAACAAGCTAGTGCTCGGCAGATCACATTTACATAATTTTATGTGGCCTCGCCTCTCCCTAGCATGTGAGCGCAAGCTACTGACCAAAGACACTTGCATGAAAAAAAATAATCAATAAATGGTACAAATTTAGCTCAGCAGAAGGGAGGTAACTCTGTGCAAGCTTGGCGTAAAATCAATATGTTATCAGCGAGGTCAATGACAGTGGCAGCCCTCGCTGTGAGGGCTCAGTAATCTGGGCTAGTGAATCGGCTGGCTTGGAGAGGGATTAAAACTTCTTCATCACTTGGCGAACCAAACCCCCCATCTTTCAACTCCGCCCACCTACGTCCTTGTTCACGTTAGGAAAACAAAGCTAAGCCTTACAACCCTGATTAGAGGAAAAAGGACTTCAAACAATTTAAATTGATCAACATCAAATTTATCAACTAATGAGCATCCGTGACTGGATGTCGACTGTGATATGAAACTTGTTATGCTTGACCATGCCTTGCAAACATACTGTGCTCTATGTGCAAGAATTTACAAAATGAAAAATATCGGAACATTTTGTATATTTGTCTTGCTATTGTTTCAATTATGTCTACGAAGTATATGTGAATCCTGTGACCATCAGATTGAACATAAACAGGGAAAATAGAAAACGAAAGATATTTGTCAGCTTGCTTTGGTTTATCTGTTTGTTGTCATATTTCAGCAATATTCCAGGTATATGACAGCAATCAAGTCTTGACAAAACAATTCAGTCACTGACATCCTCAGCATTGTGCCTTGCAAGTGAACTTGACCAGTAGATCGTATAACAACAAACATAGTCTGCTTGGGACCTCCATTTTTTCCCCAGACGCCTGAAGATGATGTAACCACTAGGTTATGGAGGACATTGGGACTAAGCAGGCGGATGACCTATGTCCACTTACCGTGACTCCACACCACTCGCACCTCATGCCAGCAAGACACTCTGAAGACCAGCAGGTTTTCTTGCATGCTACACACTTAGAGTTGGGGGGCAAGTTTCCCTCCCTCCAGTGGTGGAAGTGGACCACGGTGCCCTGCCACACAAAACAAAACATGTCATACAAAGAAGTGATTAAAACTCACTCAAACTTAGTACAACAGAACAGGCTAGGCAACATTCTTCAAAAATAGCATAAGTGGATAGTTTTCAGATTTGCACCAGGAGGATATTATTCAATATCGTGATCTTGATAGTCAAGGACATCAACACATTTTCAATCAGAAACCAAGCATACAGTGTTAACAATGTCTTGATCTCCAAAAGCTGAGAAGCTGATTCCAACCCTTATGCCAGAGTATGAAATAAGGCCCATCAGACCGCCCGAGGCTGGGCTAGATTTCTGACGGACGGTCTAAATTTATAGCTAGCCAGCCCCATGGTCTGGTAAAAAATTCAGATGTTCCATACATCTGAGTAAATTCACCATATTTGGTCTGGTTAAATCCATTTTTGGCTGGTAACATTTTGAAGTTACCAGCCCTGATGTCTGGCTGGATTTTTGGCTTATTTCATACACTGCTTATGCATCAAATAGAGTAGACCACTGTGTGGGTGAGATACAATGCAATATTTCAATATCATAGCTGGGGATATAACAAATAAACTCCACACACTGTACACATTGCGGAAATCCAAACCTGCGTCTTCAGCATATGTAAATCATCAACCACTGGGTATCCGACCGTATCCAGTTATCCGGACAGTTATTTCCAATTTGTCCATTGTCCTTCACATATTGTACACATGCATGGAATTGAACCTAAAATGTGTGAATGCTTCACCAGCTTACAAAGGCTTATCAGACCCTATGCTGATCTCCTTGTTGAGTGACACTCAGGGAAACAACAAGTATCACTGATTAACTTCTGGAATGACTTAGGCATCAAACCAATGACCTTCTGCTCTCTTGGCAGGTGCTCTATCCCCTACACCACAGAAACAAAGAATTCACTGAAGCATAGAACTTAATGCATGACAATTTCTTGCTTGTTGCATACAGCTAAAAGCTTGATAATGGAGTAAGAATCCACATTGAAACGTCACTCTATGCAATAAACAAGAAGTTGTCATCCATAAACTTGTATACTTCCTTTTTGACTCACCAACTTCTAGAATGCTGATCAAACAAAGAACTGACTAAACTTAAAGTATCAGACAGCATTCTCACCTTATCTCTCTGTGGCAGATATGTGGCACATTCCTTGCAGTCACTCACAACAAAGTCCTGACAATCCAGATGGGCATAATACTCACAGACTGAAACACAAACACAATAACATGTATTGATGAGTGAGTGAGTGAGTGAGTGAGTGAGTGAGTGAGTGAGTGAGTGAGTGAGTGAGTGAGTGAGTGAGTGAGTGAGTGAGTGAGAGTGAGTGAGTGAGTGAGTGAGTGAGTGATACGCCACTTTTAGCAATATTCCAGCAATATCATGGCGGGACACACAAGAAATAGGTATTGCACCCATGTACCCATGTGGGGACTCAGACTCGGGTCTTCGGCATGCTGAGTGAACACTTTAACTACCCCACCTCCCTATTGACACATGACACAATGTTGCTTCATGTAGCAGTCTACAGCAGCAGACTTGTTTGTTGTTACCAGTCAACAGTATTCCACCTACATCTTAGCAGCTTGTAAAAAGTATAATATGGGAAGGACAGACCAATGCTTGACATTTCAAACAATGTAATATGCTGGTTGTCTTTTTACCAGGGAAAACACTGCTTGGGCCTAAAGTATTCAAATTTTATCTTCTGTCTTCCATGCATGCGATATTTGGTGCTCAGGGCTCAATTTAATTTTGTGAACCATTTACTAGTGTTTTCACTCATGTTTGGTTCATATAGTTTTTAGTGAGTGAGTGAAATTAGTTTTACGCCGCACTCAGCAATATTCCAGCTATATAGCGGCGGTCTGTAAATAATTCAGTCTGGACCAGACAATCCAGTGATCAACATCATGAGCATCAATCTGCGCGGAACTGGGAACTGATGACATGTGTCAACCAAGTCAGCGAGCCTTACCACCCAATGCTGTTAGTCGCCTCTTTACGACAAGCATGGGTTACTGAAGATCAACCTATAGTTTTTAATGGGTATTTAATACATTTTTACACCCTTGGGTCGAGTATTTTGTGCATTTCTAAACCAACAATAATCAATCTTATCAGTAATTGTGCTTAAAATATTGTTTCCATTGACAATCTGTGCTTTGTTCACAGTAGCAGAATTCATTAAGACATGATGCTTGCATCTGATCGACAAATATAGAAATGCAGGCAGGCAAACTATGACAGCTACTAAAGGTACAATGCAGTCTTGTTCTACAACTGGGTTTTTACATTTTTCATGATTATTTGTATGGAACAAAAAAATGAAGAGGTCCTGGAAATATATTTGAGATGTTTAAGGGAATGACATGAATCATCTAGAGCTCTGGTAGCTATACTGCCAAAAAGATTTGCTTCCAATTTGATTAAAGCGAAAATATGCACAATCTGGGTGGAAGTATTTGCTTCATAGCACTCCTAAAGAGTGTGACAAATTCACCTTAAGATAACAATACTTACTTTCACATCGTATCGCAAGACTGTCTTCTAATCGTTTTCGACAGACGTTGCAAAATTTTCGTTTGAAATGACCCGGCTCCGACCAGCAGTGAGCAACCGGGTTCTGAAACAAAGAAATACAAGCCTTTACAAACATGTCTCATCTGAACCTATTTCCGAAGCAACAAAGTTCTCTAACAATGCTGAAACAGCATGAACGTCACATGACAATTGTGCTCTGCCTAGCATACTATGTTGAAGTTAGCCAAGGAAAATATCAGTCAGTTACCAACTATCCGTGATATAGCATATTCTGGTACCATTACAATTGAGATGGTACACATGGATGGCAACCATTTCTTCCTCAAACGTTGTTAAAGACATTATTTGCCATCTCTCACTAGGTACTGAAACGTATCTGAGAGCGTAAGCTGGGTTTAATGCCACTTAGAACAGTTTTTCAATATATGAATTAAAGGAATGATACTCAATTCTGAACCAATATATATACCAGACAATTGACCATGAAATAAACAGTAACTATGACAGGATGTCTTGAAAACAGGATTATTGTGTTTCATCACATCATGTTGTCTTTTATTATCCCTTAAAATTCACTGAATAGAAACTGAACTGATTCATCATAGTTGGAAGTCGATACAACTAGGAATTGTAATATCATATAGCTTCTACTACTCCGAACCTGACATGTTTCCCAGTACAGTTAAGGGTTAATATATCACATGAATATTATTATTCACTGGATTAAAGAAGTAAAACTATACCCATGCTTCAAAATGTGTCTGATTACTGGATGAGAGTATTTAATGATGTTTGAGTCTGACAATGCACATTCAAGCTAGGAAACATTGTCTTCTGCAGTTAGATTTACAACCCAGGAGTTAACCTGTGACACAGACAAAAGCTCTTTGCTGTAATGAAGTCCAGTGTTGTTTGAGAATTCATGTGCAGTTGCATGCAGGATCATGTATACCGGTATGACAAACTGGTCATCCGGCGTTATCCAAATCACATTACTACTGCAGCCAAAAGTCCTATACAAACATTATAATTGCTGCAACCTTGCTGTGACCTTGGCATTGGAAAAAATTGATAAAATTCATGCAGATATGATGTGGAAGGTTTCTTTCCTGAATAGATTGCTGTGCCTTTGAAAATGACAAATCTACCCATGTTTTACAATAAATGCAAATCAGTGTTCTAGACCAAAACATATCCAAAGAATGATTAACAACTTAGTTACAAGGACTAGTTACAAGGACTAATTCAGTGGAACTATTACATTTTAAGTTTTCACCATGTCTACTGCCCCGAATGGTCTGTATGTCAATTGTTTTCATCACATATGTAGTATCGAACATTCCAGTATACTTTCATCCTGTCAGAAGACTTTAGAATAGCCACTAGATTTGTCCATCTACGCAGAGTCTGGTCAAGTTGGTAAATATTCCTTCAATATACCAGTGACAGTATGATGGGTATTGTTCACAGTATATTTGTAATTAAATATTACCATATAAGAAGTGTCAAGCACAGGTGGTATGTATTTACCCTGTTTGTACAGCTGCAACGATAACTGCGGTCCTCCATGTACCGTGATATTTACCATCAGTTCAATATTTTATCTTATTGTTCATTTCACTTCGGTGCGGCATAAGCATTAAGAATTGATAGTACAATCAGCCTCTTGATTGGTTGATCCTTTAAGCTCAGCCAGTCGTAATTACATATTACATCCATGCTAATTCCAGTAAGTGAGGTGAGGTGAGGTGAAATTGGGTTTAACGTCGTGCTTGAGAATATTTCGCTCATATGACGACGTGCATGCGTGTGTATGTGTATGTGCGGCTGCTTGTACTAGCCCAGACTTAAGCTGGTTTTATAGTGCTAGCCCACTGAGATACCACGCCGCAGTGAAGCATGAATACCCCACTCAGACACATTATACTGACTCCGAGCCGACCAGTCCTTGTTGTACCCATTAAAGCCGAGAGCCAGGCAGGGACCAACAAGTACCATATTTTAACGTCTTTTGGTATGACGTCGGGATCGAACCAGCGACCTTCGGCCTCGACGCTCTAGCATTACACCCACGGAGGCGTAATTCCAGTAAGTGACTGGCAGTTAATCATTTACATTTTTTTGTTAGCCAAAATATTATGTTTCTTTTATTTTGTGTGCACATTGTGTATTGAATCTAAATATACTGAACCGAGAAGTCTATACCGTGTTACGTATTGTATCGAAATCATGGGGTATTATTGAAGAGCTACCTGTATGCAGTGTCTAGAATGGCCACAATATTTATGTAGTTAAAGCATAGCTGGAAATTATTCACCATATATGCAGTGTTTAATACAGTTGGTATGAATGCAGTGTCCAGACTGACCACAAAGTTTTGCCATATGCAGTCAAGCATGGCCAGTATATATTCACCATATATAATGAGTTCAAATTGGCCACCAATTATGAACCACATATTCAGTGTTGACAAAGGTTGGTATATATTCTCTCATATATCCTGATAGTCTATATGTGTTTACTTGAGATGCAGTGTCCAGAGTGGATACAAGGTTTTACTATATATTCAGTGTTGACCAAGGTCGGTATATATTCACTCATATATCCTGCATAGTCTATATGTGTTTACTTGAGATGCAGTGTCCAGAGTGGATACAAGGTTTTACTATAGATTCAGTGTTGACCAAGGTTGGTATATATTCACTCATATATCCTGCATAGTCTATATGTGTTTACTTGAGATGCAGTGTCCAGAGTGGATACAAGGTTTTACTATATATTTAGTGTTGACCAAGGTTGGTATATATTCACTCATATATCTTGCATAGTCTATATGTGTTTACTTGAGATGCAGTGTCCAGAGTGGATACAAGGTTTTACTATATATTCAGTGTTGACCAAGGTTGGTATATATTCACTCATATATCCTGAATAGTCTATATGTGTTTACTTGAGATGCACTGTCCAGAGTGGATACAAGGTTTTACTATATATTTAGTGTTGACCAAGGTTGATATATATTCACTCATATATCCTGCATAGTCTATATGTGATTACTTGAGATGCAGTGTCCAGAGTGGATACAAGGTTTTACTATATATTCAGTGTTGACCAAGGTCGGTATATATTCACTCATATATCTTGCATAGTCTATATGTGTTTACTTGAGATGCAGTGTCCAGAGTGGATACAAGGTTTTACTATATATTCAGTGTTGACCAAGGTTGGTATATATTCACTCATATATCCTGCATAGTCTATATGTGATTACTTGAGATGCAGTGTCCAGAGTGGATACAAGGTTTTACTATATATTTAGTGTTGACCAAGGTTGGTATATATTCACTCATATATCCTGCATAGTCTATATGTGTTTACTTGAGATGCAGTGTCCAGAGAGGATACAAGGTTTTACTATATATTTAGTGTTGACCAAGGTCGGTATATATTCACTCATATGTCCTGCATAGTTTGTATGTGTTTACTTGAGATGCAGTGTCCAGAGTGGATACAAGGTTTTACTATATATTTAGTGTTGACCAAGGTTGGTATATATTCACTCATATATCCTGCATAGTTTGTATGTGTTTACTTGAGATGCAGTGTCCAGAGTGGATACAAGGTTTTACTATATATTTAGTGTTGACCAAGGTCGGTATATATTCACTCATATATCCTGCATAGTCTATATGTGTTTACTTGAGATGCAGTGTCCAGAGTGGATACAAGGTTTTACTATATATTCAGTGTTGACCAAGGTCGGTATATATTCACTCATATATCCTGCATAGTCTATATGTGTTTACTTGAGATGCAGTGTCCAGAGAGGATACAAGGTTTTACTATATATTCAGTGTTGACCAAGGTCGGTATATATTCACTCATATATCCTGCATAGTCGACATGTTTACTTGAAATGCAGTGTCCAGCGTGGATACAAGGTTTTACTATATATTCAGTGCCTACTACAGCCTACACCACCGCGAAACGGTCAACTCTGCTGGGCTAACGGGTCAGTCAGGTCACCAGTGTGGTCCCAGCATTCACCAGCCATGCAGCACACAGCACACAGAAAATCAATACCCCAGCACAGAATAACATCAATATCATTTTACAATGAAAATATTTTGCCTGAACAGTTGTCAGTTGGAAGTAATGTTGCTTCAACAACACGACAACATCAGTGATCCCCACTGAGACAGCATCCATACACACACGGTGGTTGTTTATTATATTTATCTGTATATTATCCACTGAATACGACACAACACTAGTGTCACAGTCACATACATATGGTCCTTGCAATTGTTGAAATTCAGAAAATGTTCCACTGGGCATGTAAGTCTGTATGTATCATACTGGTAGTTCCACACAATATCAGTGTCCATACGTCATTCTGTACACCAGGATTCATCATACTTATCTGGCACCAAAGACATTTAATTCCAACACAGTTGTTCTTGAATGTAGACATAAGCCAGTGTTACACCAACTGAGTAGCACAGTAGTTTTCTCTTTACTGGTCATATAATCTGTGAGAAACTAAATTTGTTGTTGCATCATGTCAACACACAAAATGGTCCCCATATGCTGGAGTTCTGAGCTAAGCATCAAACTGAAACTAACAGAAAACCTTCATGTTGTCATTGTAAATGTAGGGCTTGTGTATCATCTGCTGATGTGCTTCGCTCCTGCTCACTACAGAGATGGGGCATATACATTTGCAATGATATGGAAGGTCTTGATGTTGTCCAATATATGGGGTCGCTTAATAGACACAACACTCAAGCATACAATATGGCAACCACAATGCGGGAAATTCTAAATTTGTATTCGCGAAATTTAACACCTTTGATCTCTGAAATATATCTCTGGGCAAACCTCATAGCAAAACTGCATAGAGCAATTTCATATGTGATGAATGCTAATTCTTACCAATGATGCCATCCGGAGAATCTTACTCAGTTTCAGACTCGCAGTTCAAACACTGGATAGTCTCTATCTAACATGAACTATAATGTCTGTTCATGGGCAAGGGATTGATGTATAGAATTGTTGACAGATGCAAAGCAGCCATTTGCA